CATTCACTCATTTACATGCCTTATGTGCCAGGCACTATTTGAGATGCTGAGAGTGAAAACAGTCTCTTATGAAATTTACATTCTATTGAGGGAACCAAAAACAAACAAACACAGAAAAACAAATTCTCTCAGGTAGTGACAGGTTATGAAGTAAAATAAATCAAGACTGGGGGGTTATAAGGCCAAGGGATTCAGTGGTTGAGCGTCAACCCATGAACCAGGAGGTCACGGTTTGATTCCTGATCAGGGCATGTGCCTGGGTTGTGGGCTTGATCCCCAATAGGGGTGTGCAGGAGGCAGCCAATCAATGATTCCCTCTCATCATTGTTTCTATTTCTCCCACCCTCTCTGAAATCAACTATATATATATATATAAAGACTAAGGGTTGGTTATAGAATGCAGAAGGGTATCATAAAATAGGGCGGTCAGGAAAGAGCTCCCTTGATTCGGCATCTGAGCGGAGAACTTACTGATAATGTAAAGGAACAGGCCTGAGGGAGTGTGGGCAATGCTGTCCTGAGCACCAGGAACAGAATAAAATCCTTGAGGAATGAGCTTGTAACATTGGAAAAAACAAGCAGATCAGTGTGGTTAAAGAGGAGCAAAGAGAGGAGATGGAGATGGAGAAGCAAGCAGGGGCCAGATCACACAGGCCCACAGAGGTCACAGTAAAGGGGCGTGGATCCTCTGAAGAGGGTCAATGAAGGAGAGACAGAGGAAGGCTCTCTGGGGCTCTGCACTCTGTAGGAAACAACCGGGGCTGGGCTCCTGCAGTCCGCTCTGGGAAAGATGGTGGTGGGGTAGACCATGGTGGTTGAGATGCACACTCATGAATGGCTGGATTCCAGACTTATTTTTAAAGGCAGAATTGATAGCTTGGCAGATGGACTGAATGGAGGTTGTAAGAAATGAGAAGAATCAAGATGGTTTTTGGCCTGAGCAACTGGATGAATAGTGGAGCCACTGCTTGCTTGCTAAAGGCAGCATTAGGGGGAGGGACATGTTCAAGTAGTAACGGTGTGAAACCAATTAATATTCACACCAAACTACTCAGAACTGTCACTCTCCTCCCAAAGGTTCTACAATTTACCCTCCTACCAACAATGGAGAGGCATGCCTCTATCCCAATAGTTTTGCCAGCAGGGAAAAAATGTTAATTTGCATGTTCTTATTAGTAAACTGAGTATTTTTTATTGGCCATTTGTATTACTTCTGTGAACTGCCTATTCATATCTTTTAATCATTTGTCTAGTAGATAGATGTGTGCTTTTCTTACTGATTTGTAAGTGTTCCGTGTATGTTAATAAGTCTAATCCTATCTGTCACATTGCAAATGTCTACTTTTTAGCTACCCATGGTGTCTCTGATAAACAAAAATGGCTCTTACTTTATGTAGGCACTCAATAAAATATACCTATAATGAACTCACTACTATTGGGGGTTTCTATCTCTGGCAGCAACCCCTCAAAGCTTTCTATATTTTTTAATGCTTTATCTTTTTCTTTCAGATTTCAACCTTAGCTCCATCTAGAATCGATTCTGTGGTGTGGTGTGAGTTCAGGAGGTTCTAACTCCAGACACAGATTTCACAGAGCTGAGCCTTATCCTCCCGCAACATTGTCTCCATCCACAAACACAGCCTTTCCACTCCGTTCTCCTCAGCCAACCTGCTCCCTGCAGGTCACTTCAATAAGGAGTCCCAGGCACCAACAGCTCTCTCCTAGAGCTACCTTCCTCCTGGTCTGTCTTGTTCCATGCTTTGCACTCGCCCCAAACTGGTTGGTCACAGGACAACCAAAGCAGTTGCTTTCCTTTTTAATGGAAAATTGATGTTTCTCTCTTGCTTATGATTTTCCAGTGGCTTCCTATTGGAAATAAATGAAATACAGACCTCTACCATGATTTACAACATCCCACCTGGCCTGCCCCACCTTACGCTTTACCAGCCCACTTCCATAATTCTCTCTCTCTCTGTCTCTCTCTCTCTCTCTCACCCACAGAATCCCAGCCACAATGGCCTCCTCTTGGCCCCTGGGACACACCAGGTTTATCTGTCCCTCAGGCCTAGGTGACCGGTGCTTCTCTTTCCGGTAATGCCATCTTCTCAGACAGGCCTTCCTAGACCCTGACACCACCCTGCCATCACCTCACCTCAGTGACTCGCCATTGAATTAGTTTCCCTTTATTTAAGGTACTTGCCATTAACTAAACTATCTTGTTCCTTCATTTATTTGCATGTATTTTGTGGGTTTCCCCTGATCCTTCCTACAGAAAGTGCTCTAAAAGACAGGCCCTAGCCCTGACAGGTTTGCTCAGTGATAGAGGGTTGGCCTGTGGACTGGGGGGATCTCAGGTTCGATTCTGGGCAAGGGTATGTACCTTGGTTGCGGGCACATCCCCAGTGGGGGGGGGGAGGGAGTGTGTGCAGAAGGCAGCTGATCGATGTTTCTCTCTATCCCTCTCCCTTCCTCTCTGTAAAAAATTAATATTTTAAAAATAAAAATAAAAACATAAAAGGCAGGCCTTTGTCCTTGCTCGACTTTGCATCTCCAGCATCTATTGTGTCTATCGCGTAGCAGGTGCTCAGTTAATATTAATAGACAGGGGAAGGGGAAAATCTGGAGCCCAGCTTACCTTGCAACAACGGGCCCCTAAAATTCGTCTGATTTCCTTTAATGTCGGGGGGGGGGGGGATCTCTGCGATGTGGTACCGGTCCCCCCTTCTCACCCTCCAGCCTCAGCTGCGGCCAGGCTAACACCCCAACAAAATGTAACTCTGAGAAACATTGCCTTAGGGGGCGTTGCTAACTCATCTCCCCCTCTCCCCCTGCCGGTCGCCAAAGGCTGCGGGAAGCGCCAAGTTTCCGCCGCCGGCGTCCAGCCCCGCCCGCCCGCGGCGCAGGAGGGAGAGGCGCGAGGGCGGGTCCGCTTACCAGCTCGTCCGGGCTGAGGACTCCGAACTGCACCCTCTTGATGGTGCGCAGCGGGCATGCGCTGTCCCCGGAGGGGGGGCCGCCCCCGTGCATCGCGGAGGCCGGCGCGCTGCGCAGGCGCAAACCTTCCTACAAAAAGCCTGCGCCGCCTCCGCCTAAGAGCTCAGACCCCGTCGGGCCGGCCGCCGGGAAGGACCTTCCCTAAGTAGGGAAGAGAAAGCCGGAGGAGGGAAAGGTTGGGGGAGGGGAAGAGGCGGGGAAATAAAAAAGGAGCGAAAGGAGTTTTCCTGCCTTTTTTCCGGAGGTTTTTTTCCGCTTCTCAAAAAAGGAAATAAAAAAAGAGGAAGGGGAAGGAAAAGGGTTCAGAGAGGGTAGAAGAAAAAGGGTAACGAATAAATAGTTAACCGGGCTCCGGAACGGCACAGGCTACGGCAGTTGGTCTCTCCCCCTTCCGGGAGCCACCTTCTTCGCCAACCGTCCCGGCCGCGCTCTCGGCGCTTCTGAGAAGAGAACTGACCGAATGACGCCTTTTATAGATCCGGCCCTGCATCCCCGCCCCTTCCTTTCCCGCCCTCCCTTGCGCCACAGGCCGGTCTGCGCCGGCCCGCGCGGGGGCGCGCGCTCCGGGCGTTGCTCCTCCCTTCCCGGCTCTCGGGTTGAGCGACCTGTGAAGTGACGGGGGGGGAAAGGGGGAATTTAATCCCTCCACCTCCCTAGACTGCTCACTCCCGCACTGATATTTAAGGTTTGAAGGATCGAGGCTAAATGTAGACTGCTTATAGTCTAGTTTGGGGTGTGTTTTCATCTTCAGCAAAAGTTTGCCGTTAATATCCCCCCCCGCCCGTTGGAAAGTGGTCTGTTCCGTGAATCGGTAATGAAGAGGGCGGGGCCGGCAGGGGTTCCCGGAGGGGGTAGTGCTGGGGCCGTCCTCGGTCATGAATATGCAGTAACCGCACTGAATATGTATGAATAAATCAAGATGGCAAGGCCGATTGTTTGTCCGGAAGTCGCTATTTGCCGAGAGGCCTCCGGGGACGGGTGGGCATCTCCTGGCCGCTCGCGGAGGCGCCCTGTGCGGAGCTCCGATGCGGGGTCCCGGCCGGAGCGGCCCAGACCTCAGCCCCCGCCTGTCCGGAAGGAGCTGGCCGCTGGCCCCTGGCCGGGAGGGAGAAACGGACACAGACAATCCAGGAAAAGCAGATTAGCCATGGGGCGGGACGCAAACCCTGGGATGTTCAGGATCTAAGCCTCTGAACGTTAGGGAATCCTCTCCCTTCTAGAATATTTCAGAAAAAAGGGTGGGGGAGGGGGTTTCCACGGTCCTTCCAAAGCAGCGATGACACAAACTGTACAGCCACATTCAGCGTGATCCTCGTTTGATGTCAATGTCACGTCACCACCCCAAATTGGCCGGGGAGGGGGGCGGATTTGGGTGGGGAGAGGAAGGGGGACACACCACTGGGAAGGGAAATCTCACTCGAGGAGAAAAGGCAGACTCCCTTCCCCCAGCGCAGCTGCTCGCTCTGTTTGCCTGAAAGCGTCAGACACCCCAGCCCATGGCCGCCTCCCTGTGCCGAGGTGAAGAGCTCCCCATGGCCCATGGCCTGCCGGCTCCTCTGATCTGCTCCTCGGACGGTATTTCTTATCCTCTGACCCTCTAGCCCCAGCCTCGGTTCTGCAGCGCTTGGTCCCCAGGCCTGTTCCAGGCCTTCCAGGCAGTCTCTTTCCACCAAGTCCCCCTTCCCCTCGACTCCAAGGTCTATCCCTGTCCCACACCAGTTCTTTTCCAGTCACTTGTTCTCTCATGTTTTTATTCCAGTCTATTTGCCTTTGCCTCCCCCCCATCTCATCATTGATGTTTCTCTCTCTCCCTCCCTGTCTTCCTCTCTCCCACTCTTCCTCTCTTTTTTCCTTTCTCCCTCCCTCTCTCCCTCACCCTTCCTCTCTGAAATCCATAAAAAATATTTTAAAAATTCCTGGGCAGGTTACATGTCCAGGTTTCAGGCTCAGTCCCCAGTAGGGGGTGTTCAGGAGGCAGCCTATTGATGATTCTCTCTCATCATTGATGTTTCTGTCTCTTCCTTTCCCTTCCTACCTCTGAAATCAATTTAAAAAAAAACATATTTTAAAATAATAAATAAATTCAATAAATAAATAGAAAATAAAAGAGAAGGTGCCACAGTCTCATGGAGCACATAATACTGCCGCATTGGGGGAGGGGAGGCACCACCATCTCAGAGTGCAGGATAGTGCACACCAGGGCAGGGTGTGCCTTGGTGACAGAGTAGCTCACACACACACACACACAAAGGCGACCAGAGCAAGATCACCACTGCCCTTGCACAGCTCCAACTCAGGATCAATGGGCAGCAGGGGACAGGAGAAAGGCCTGGTCCACAGCCCACAAGATCCATCAAGCCAAACAGGAAAGCCACTGCTGGTAGGCAGGAGGGGAAGCCCCAGTGATTGTGCCAGGCCGCCCAGAAAAGCGAGCACATGGCTCAGAGCCATGTAGAGGCCTTCCCCCCCTTCTGTAGTGCCCCTAGTCCAGGGCCCACAATGATGCTTAGTCCCACGGTGCTGCCCAATAGGCCATGCCAGTCCCAGGGACTGAGACCCTGGCTCTCAAGACAGAGGGTGCAAAGAAAAGAGCAGATGATGGAAGAACTTTTGTGCCCTAACCGGTTTGGCTCAGTGGATAGAGCATTGGCCTGCGGACTCAAGGGTCCCAGATTCAATTCCGGTCAAGGGCATGTTACCTTGGTTGTGGCCACATCCCCAGTGGGGAGTGTGTAGGAGGCAGCTGATTGATGTTTCTCTCTCATTGATGTTTTGAATTCTCTATCCCTCTCCCTTCCTCTCTGTAAAAAATCAATAAAATATATTTTTAAAAAGAAAAAGAAAAAAGAACTTCTGTGAACGAGGACAGTGTTGCCAGCAGGCATCACCTGAACTGCCCTGTAGACACATCCAAGGCTGAGGAGAGTGGGGGTGTGCAGGCAGGGGTAAAGGGGAGGAGGAGGAGGCATGAACAGAGCAGCAGCGCCAGCAAGGATGAGTGGGAAATCTGGTGAGACGCCCGGGAGAAGGGGCCCAGGAAACCGCCCAGCAGGGCCACACGCAGTCGCCTGATGACAGTACAGGTGCCAGGGGAGGCTTGGGGAGAGTGGAGGGCCAGCCATGATGACGGGGTGAAGCTGGCAGGTTGAAATGGGGGTGAGTGTCAGCTTGTTAGGGAGAAAAGAACTCAGGCATTAGGATAGCCATAGTCCAGGGGACGGAGACAGGGCGAATGTCAGGCTGGGGGCTAGGACCCCGTGTGGCAGTAGAGGAACGAGGGAGCTAGAAAGGGCCTGAAAGATGGCTGAGGAAGCAGTGTGGTAATAGAGCAGGAAGTAGGGAGTGTGTAGTCCCCGAGCACTGAATCTCTGGGAGGAGGAAAGGACGACTGGAATGAGGAAGAGGAGGTGGCCTCTGATGCTATGTGTTGATGTGATGTCACAGGTTCCAGGGACAGCTGGGTAGACCATGGCGAATTTCATTTGCTCCTTCTCTAGGAGAGCTGGGCAGTGTTAGGGGTGGGGGGACGGGGAGCAGCCCGGAGCTATAAGGAAGGGGGCTGTGGCCCCTTGGCCCCCACACTCACCATCTTTCCTCGGACTTCCTCCACTCCTCCTGGCTCAGGGCCCCTGGAACCCTTTAGAGCTCCAGCCATTGTGACCCGATTCCACGGGGGTGGGGTTCCTCCCTGGAACCTCCTGAGATGGAGGTGGGCCTCTTTTCTCTTTGTGTCCAACTCTGCTTGCTTTCCATCTATGCCTCTGTGACTCCAAAGTCTTCTTTACATCTATGCTCTATGATTCCCAAGTCCTTCTGGCTCTTTATTTTCTCTGTAAGACTAGCGCCGTGAGGAGACGTCTTTGGCTTTAAATGAACGTGTGGTGCCTCACCTTGTCCAGAAAGGAGCTCCGAGGGCTGGTTCCTCGGCCTCCCGGGTTTTGAATTTTTGAACGCCCGGAAGGAGTCTCTGGGGCTGTCCCTCCGGAGTGTCAGGAATGTGCTGCTTCTGTGTGTTTCGGGGGTGCTGTCCTAGGAGGCCCACACCAGGCCTCTGCGTTATAGAACCGGACATTCCTCTGGTGGAAAAAACACCGAGCTGCCTGCTCGTCTGCGCCGGTAGTCACCTATGTGCCTGTTCTGAGCGCTGGGCTTTCCGGGGCCTCGGCCTGGTGGGGTTCCCTGCCGTTCTGGGGAGGGTGTGTGTGTGTGTGTGTTTGTCTTCAGCCTGGGTCTGCGGGTCCCCGAGGCCCGATTTCCTGCCGGGCCTGCCATGTTGTGGGTCTGCGCCCTCACAGGCAGTGCTCTCCGGGCGGTGTGCACGCTGAGCGGAGGCAGTGTGTGTGTGTGTGTGTGTGTGTGTGTGTGTGTGTGTGTGTGTGTGTTGGGGAGGGGGCTGCCCCTTCCTAGGGAGTGGGTGGTCGGCGATCCTGCGGGGGAGCTGCGGCCAGGCCCGGGCCCGGTGGAGCCCCGCGGCCGGCGGCCCTGCTGGAGCCGCTCCGCTCGGGATCGCTCGGGGCCGAGGCCCAGGGCGCGGCCCCCACCGGGCCGGAGCCTGTGTCGCGTCTGCAGCCTGCGCCGGCCTCCCTCCTCTGCTCGCGGCGGCGGCGGCGCTGGGGGGGACTGTTTCCGGGGGTGGGGGTGGGGGTAGAACCGGTGGGGGGGGAGCCGATGATGTCAGCGGCGGCGGCGGCTGCGGGGCCGGGCCGGGGCCGGGCGCTGGGGGGGCCGGGGCCGGAGCCGGAGCCGGAGCTGGAGGCGGGCGGAGCAGGAGCGGCCGGGGGCCGCCACGGGGATGAGCCGGGCCCGGCGGACGCGGCGCCATCGCAGTCAGGTGGGCCCCGGACGAGCCGGGCAGGGCCGGGCGGACCGGAGCCCACAGCCGGGCCCCCTCCCCGCCGCCCGGCGCCGCGGGGGCCAGGGCTGCGCCCCGCGCCGCCCGCTCCCCTTCGGGGCTGACCCGGGGGCTCCGGGGTCGGGGGCTGCGGCTGGCCCCGCCCCCGGGCGCACGGCGCGGGGAGGGGGCGGCTCGGGGGCCCCGGTCCGGCGTCCGGCCCAGCGGCGGCCAGGGGAGGCGCGATCGCGGGGGCCGGGGAAGGGGCGCCCTCGCTCCCCGTCTGAAAGGTTAATCCTGCAGCCGAATGCCCCCCTCGGCTTCTGGGGCGGGCTGGGCGGGGGTGAGCCCCGGCCGGCGCTGCTAGCGGCCGGGAGGGCGATGGCGTAGGAGCCGGGCAGGAGGGGGAGGGGTGGCCGGTGCGCGCCCCGGAGTTGGGGTGTGCGGGGTGCGCGGGGCCAGCGGGGCCGGGGCCGCCGCGCCGTCGGGGCGGGGTGGTGGCCGTGAGCCCCGGAGGTTGTGTGTCTCCTGCCGTGCCGTGGGGCCAGGTAACCCTCTCCTGTGCGCCGCTGGGTGCCGGCCTGGCAGGCCGGAGTCTGGGCAGGGCCCTCGGGGCCACGGGGACGGAAAGCCAGGTGGCGGGGTGTCCGGTGTTGCGGGGCAGAATTACAGCCCGCGGCCCCGTGGCTTCGGGTGACAGGTCCACCTTCCCAGCAGGACAGGGTCCGTGCGGAGTTTGCTGGACGTGGGATTTTGGGCAGGTTTTAGAGCAGCAAGTGTTTGCTGCTGCCCCCTGCACAGAGGAACTGTTTGGAACTGTTGTTGTCTGCACAGCCAGCCGGTGTCAGCGCGCCGGGCGGCACCGGGGCGCAGGCTGTGTGCCTGTTGGGGGGAGGGGGGGGCGGTTGTTTACCTCTGAATTGGAAGGTGCTCCTTCTGGGCCCTGGCTCTGTGCTGCTGAGGTGTGGTCCTCTCCGTGCTGCTGAGCGAGGATGGCCCGGCCGGGTGGGTCCTGTGTCTGTGTGATGAGCAAGTTGCGTGGGGAGGTGGCGCAGGTCTAGAACTCAGGGGCCACCATCCTGAGGAACTGGGGGAACCCCAGGGTGTGTCTCCAGGCCCCGGGGGGCAGCTGGCGCCGGTGTGAGGGGCTGGGGTGGACCGGGCAGGTTGTGTTTACGGGCCCGTGGGCAGCCTGGCGAGGGGAAGGCTGTGTGCGCCACAGGCTCCGAGGGATCCTTTTGTGACATTGTTTGCGGGGAGCCTGTCCCTGCTGTTGGGCTGGGAGGCAGGCGAGCTGCTCAGAACACACTTGTGGGGGGGTGGGGGGTGGCGTGACAAGGGCATGTGGGCCTCGGCGTCGAGAGATCAGCCGCAGCCGTGTGTGCGTGCGGCCTTTCGCGTGTGTGAGCGGCCTGTGGGGCTGGGCTGGGAAGGAGCAGGGAGGTAAACACGGGCAGAGCCAGGGCAGCGGGCGGGTGGCCGGGCTGGTCCCCGTGCGGGGTCTGAGCGCTGGCCTCTCGCCGGCCTGCCCGGCGTGTCAGGGTCACGGGGAGGAGAGGCCTGGCGGCTGCAAGGAAGCCGGGCCTGGACCGAGCGGCTCCCTGGTCATGTTTACGTAAAGGTCGGGTGTGACTCTTGTCACTGAAATGGAAAAAAGAAACACGAAGTTTTCAGCCTCCGCCTCTCGCTTCACCCTCTCTCGGCCCCCCTTGCCGGTATCTCTGCTTTTCCATCTCTTCTGCGTCTGTGACGCAGGCTGGGCAGCTCCTGTGACTGCAGGAGGGTCTGAATTCGCTCACGAGGCAGATTCCTCAGCACAGGTTTCCTCACCTCTGGGGCCCGGGCCTTCTGGAGGGGTGTGTGTGTGTGTGTGTGTGTGTGTGTGTAGGGGGCATGGTGTGTGTGTGCACACTGCTGGGTACTGCGTTTCACCTGTCTGCAGGGTGGATATGCATGGGGAGCGGCAGGAAGGCACGATGGCCGGGGCCTCCTGCCCGGAGGGGGTGCTGGGTGCTGGGAGAGGCCCTCACAACAGGTGCACCCCGGCCTGGTGGAGGGGAGGGGGGTCTAGACTAGAACTGAGGGGTTCCGGCCCTCCTTCTTCTTCACTGGCACTTCCCCTGAGTGAGCCTCGGTTCCTGATCTGTAAAATGGGACTAATGGTCTGCCCTACCGTCTCCCAACAGGGTCGTAAGCAAGTAGCATATGGGAAAGGTGCCAGGAAAGTAGCTCCAGTTCGGAGACTATGCCTGTGCCAGCAACTGTCAGCCCTCTGCCGGCGCGGAGCCCCCGCTGGGGCTTGGCTAATAGCAATAGCGGTAAACACTTATTGAGCACTTCCTGTGTACCTGGCGCTGTGCTCAGCGTTACATGCGATCACTCACAGTCTTCACAGTGCCCCGTGGAGGTAGGGATTCTCACTACCTCTCCTTTTCCGATGAGGCCACTGAGGCCCCGAGAAGCAGTTTGTCACTCAGCTAGCAAGAGGGAAAGCTGGGTTCGAATGCAGGCGGTCAGATTCCAGGTCCTGCGCGCTATACACGAGGGCCCGGGCCCCGGAGGTGAGGAAACCCGTGCTGAGGAATCTGCCTCGTGAGCGAATTCAGACCCTTCCACGGTCGCAGGAGCTGCCCCGTGTGGGAACCTGAACGCAGGCAGTCAGGTTCCAGGTCCAGCTGCTTTCGGTCGTCCTTCTGCAGTTCTCTGTGGGCCTCTCTGTGCACACACTGCTCCCAATTTCTGTATCAGCAGCACCCCCACCGATCCTTTTCAGAAGGCCCACGTGCCTAGTAACTCAGGGAGGCCCGGCGGGGGGAGTGAACTCATATCCGCTGCTGGGTGCCGGCCACAGAAGCAAAAAGACGAGGGGCTTGTCGTCCTGTGGGCCAGGCAGGGCCACCAGGGAGGTGGCATTTGAGTTCGGTCTTAATATTTTGCAGGGCTTTGGAGACGAGGTGGAGGAGAGCTGCGTTTCTGACGGGAGGACCAGCATAGGCAAACGCATGGAGGCCCAGGACGTGCTGGGGCTTAGAGCACACTGGGTGCTTGAAGGGAGACCAGCACAGGCAAGCTTAGACAGGGAGATTGGAACTAGCCCCCCGAGTGCCTGCTAAGGAGTTGGAGCTTTATTCTAGAGTGAGGGACCCGGGGGGGGGGGGGGGTTCTGAGACGAGGAGTAATGCCACCAAGCTGCACTGGGGAGGTTGACCTTCAGCGAGAGGTAAGCCTGGAGGCAGGGGAGTAGCTGGGAGACCATGACCTTGGACCATGTGAGTGTTGACAAGGCCCCGAGCTAATTTGGGGGCCAGGGCCGGGTTGAAGGGAAGGCTTCCCAGCTGGGCTGCCGGTTTGCCCAGACGTGGGGGCTGCTGGATGTGGGGAGCGAGGGAGAGGACAGATCAGACGCGACACCTTGAGCCTTTAGCACGTGAGACCTTGTGCGGCGATTCTGCAACCCGCTCGCTGGCCGTGGGCCCTTTCAGGGCAGGACGGGCAGTGTGGCAGAGGGCAAGGCTCAGCACCTGGGCTCCCAGGCCTGGATTTGAATTTTGCCCTGCTCCTCACAAGCCGTGTGACCTTGAACAAGGTATGCCCACCTCTGTGAGCTTCCGTGTCCTTATGTGTAAAATTGGGATAATGTAAATGCCCACTTTGGGTGGTCGTCTGGGGGAAATCAGTAAATGAGGCAATGCATGGAACGCCCCGGAGACGTGTCAGCAAAGTGTGAGTGCCCAGGAGTGGTCCCGTTACACGCACCATCCCAATCCCTGACCAGCTCAGTCCTGCTCTGAAGAGGACTCCTTCCCAAGGGTGGACAGACTACACGCAGACTTTAAAGAAGACAGGTTCATGCAGACACCAATTTTTTAAAAAAATCTCCCATTACATATCAGACACTGTTCTAAGCACTGAGGATAGCAGTGGACAAGGCAGACAAAAACCCCTCCCTCCCTGGCCAGTGTGGCTCAGTTGGTTGGGCGTAGTCCCGTACACCAAACGGTTGCCAGTTCTATTCCCGGTGAGGGCACGTGCCCAGGTTCCGGGCTTGGTCCCTGGTGGGGGACATGCAGGAGGCAGCTGACCGACGTTTCACGTTCTCACATCAATCTTTCTCTCCTCTCTCTCTCTAAAAATCAATAAACTTAAAAAAAAAAAAAGCTCTTCCTCCCTTGGAGGTTACATTCTAGAGATAAATGAGTAATATGTTTTCCTAAGTGTCAAGGAGAAAAATAAAGTAGGGGAGATGGACGGGAAGTTTTGGGCGACAGGGTGGCCAGGGAAGGCCTGGTGGGGCGTGGGGGTAGGGGTGATTTTGAGCCTAGACTGTGGGGGGGGGGGGGCAACAAGGCGTGAGGCTGAGGGCTGAGGAAACATTCGGGCAAAGGGAACGGCAGGAGGTGGAGTGTGTCTGGTGGCAGTGCCCTGATCCCCCCTCAGTCACACCTCTGAGGCCACACAGCCAGTCAGGAGCAGAGAAGCAGTAAGAACAAATAAACTAAACACCACAGAGCCACCAAGCCCACCCTGAAGCCTGATTCTGCTGCTTTTCCCTCACTTGCCGCATCATTTTCTGGGACAGGTCTAAGATGTAAGAGGGCGCGCGGACTGAGCACTTACTGTGCCAGGTGCCCCTCTGGTTCTGCCAGCTCTCCGCTCACCTCTTCTCCACAGCAGCCACGCGAAGAGGGGACTTTTCACTCTCACAGACAATGAAGCAGACCCAGGAGGCTAAGCACCTTGCCCAGAGTCAGACAGCTAGTTCTCCACCTCCCATAAGCCCTGTAGGGCAGTGGCCAGTGGTGGGGCAGGTGAGCTCAGGAGAGCTGGGTTCAGACTCTGGTTAGCAGTAAGGCCAGGGGCAGTTCACACTGCCCCTGTGTTCTCTCTGCCTGACAGTGAGGAGTGTAGAGCATTGAAAGCCTCAGTTTCCTCATCTGTACAGCCTCACGATGGCCCTTTTTGAGTCTTGCAATGCGATGATGCAGATAAAATGCTTAGCTCTGTACTTGGTACATCGTAAGTATTGCACAAATGGCAGCTACAAATATGTACCACGATCATGACGATTCTCGGTCAGCGGTCACCAACCGGTGAGGTCCGAAAGGTTGGCGACCGCCATCCTAGGTGATCTCTGAGGGCCAGGCCAGCTTTGGACTTCCCTGGTTCTAAGCACAGGTGTCAAACACAAGGCCCGCGGGCCAAATCCATCCCGCCAGGCCTTGCAATGTGGCCCGCACCGCGCTGTCATCACTGCACTCCACTGCGTTTCCATCACAATGACAGTTTATGACTGTTCAGTAAACCATTCGGCCCGCGATTTAGGCTGGATTTTAGATTTTGGCCCCTTCTCTGATTGAGTTCGACACCCCTACGAGCCGCCGTAGGCCTTGTCCCCATCAACACGCCACGCCTCAGCGGGCGCCACGCCTCAGCGGGCAGCCGGCCTGGGCGGTGCAGGTGGGCCGGCTGGCCCGGGGGTGTGGGGGCTGGACTGGAACCTGCGCTTTGCTGGCTGTGCAGGCTGCTGCTTCCTGGTGAAGGGCCTCTCTAATGTTAACACGTGGGCTGTTGAAAGAACACAACCATTTGTCTGTGCTCGACTCACAACACTCCGACATCACGGGTGTGGGTTTTCCCCTCGCTGATCAGTCCTGACGCTGGCCGGGTGTCCTACCATTCGCTTCTGACACCAGCTTCCTGGAAATAGTGTCACGTGCCACAGGGTAAGGCTCAGTCCCACCAGCAAGCCCCCCGCTTCAGAAGCCAGTCGCAAATCCAGGTCTCCTGTACTTTTGATGGACCAGCTATAAATTGGGGTTTACCACGACCCCTTCCTCAGATTTGATCATTTGCTAGAACGGCTCACAGAACTGAGGGAAATACTTAGGTTCACCGGTTATGTAACGGAGCATATGCTAGCAGACGAACAGGCCATGTGGAGGTGAGCAGGACAGGTCTGAAAGGGGCTTGCGCACAGGAGCAGAATTGTCTCCGAAGAGTCGGGATGCGTCATCTTCCCGGCAGGTGGATGTGTTTGCCGACCTGGGAGCTCTATTGACCCTGTAGTTAAGGAATTTTTATGGAGCCATCATCACGCAGGCATGATCGATCATCACGCAGGCATGATCGATCATTAACTCGGTCTCCAGTCCCTCTCCGCTCCCCAGAAGTTGGGGGTGGGGGGGACTGGGAGTCCCAAGCTTCTATCATGGCTTAGTCGTTCTGCTGACCAGCCCCTGTCCGGGAGCCCACCAGCAGTCACCTCATTAGAACAAAAAAATGCTGCCATAACCCAGGAAATCCCCATGGACTTAGGAGCGTGGTGTCAGGAAGCAGAATCAAAGACCAACCATCAGAACAAAAGATGCTCCTAATGCTCTTACCACTTAGGAAATTTCAAGTTTTAGAGGCTCTCTGTCTGCCATGGGGATGAAGACCAAATATAGATATTCCCAATATATCAGAATATCATAGCTCACGTCTGTAAACAAGCCCTTCACCCTGATTTGGTATATCAAGAACACGGGCTTTGGAGCCAAACTTTCTGGGATCAGGTGCCAGCCCCCGCTAACTGCTCATATATTCTTGAATCAGCTACCTAGCACCTCTGAGCCTCAGTTGTTCACTTACAAATGGGGAAGCTAGCCTGGCCAGTGTGGCTCAGTGGTTGAGCGTTGGCCCACGAACCAGGAGGTCATGTTTGGATTCCGTGTCAAGGCACGTGCCCTGGTTGCAGGCTCCATCCCCAGTAGGGGGCGTGCGGAGGCAGCTGATCCAGTATTTCTTTTATCGATGTTTCTATCTATCCCTCTCCCTTCCTCTCTAAAATCAATAAAATATACCGGAATTTAAAAATAAAATGGGGAAGCTAAGCTACTTTTTAGGGTGGTGAAGAGGAAGGGGAAAATGAAGTAACCCCATTAAAGCATTGACCCTGAGGGTCCCAGTGGGCCAGTGGCTGTCATGGGAGAGGGTGCTCACCTCACGTTACAACAGACCCACCTGCAGCCCAGCAACTGAGGGTGGCACTGACCCGGCTATGTGCCGGCCATTGGAGCTGCCGATCGTGTGTGTTCACCTCTGTTTATTGCCGGTTCTCCAGGGAGGAGTCAGAGCAGTATCTGAGGAATTGAAAGGGACTGCGGAGGGAAGGCCTTTTAGTCCAGTTAGCATGATTACTAAGCAGGAAGATCAGGTTTTTATGCGGTGGGGAACTCCTGATGCAGGACGCGTCTGAGAGTGTGTGACCCAGGGCATTCCGAAGGAGGTCACGCCCCGGCTCTGAGGAGGGCAGCCAAGAGGGGCCAAAAGCTCTGCTCTCGGGTCAGCGGGCCTGGCTCTGTGAACAGGCCCCTCCTGCTGTTAGCAGCTGTGTGACTTTGGCTATGTCACTGTGTGGCTCTTGAACTCAGATCTTCAATTGGAAAATACAGCCCCAAAGCCCCGTCTGTGCCCACAGGGGAGAGAGTGGCTGTGAGTGCCTTCTGTGTGGTGATTGCGACGGCTTGCCTTGGGGTTGCCTACTGTCCCTTTTGGGTGAGCTTCCCAGGAAGAGGTGAGATAGGAGTTGTGTTCCACCCCCTCCTACACCCTCTGTTTTAAAGCCACAGACCTAAGGCCCTTAGCTCTCAGAGTAAGGAGTGGGACCCACGTTTCCTCACCCCTGGTCTGGTGGCCTTTCCAGTGCCCTCCAGAGACTGGAGCGAGCTGGGACTGGGTATGAATGGTGGTCTTTGGTGGTCCCCTGGCTCCTGGGCCAGAAATCCCTCAAAGACTGATGGGGCTGGCTCCCGAGAGAGGAGGTCCTTTCCTAATTTGAATATCTAGCAGCTTGGTCCAATAAAACATCTCAAGCGATTCTATTTTGATATGTAAATGAAACCGTTATAAAAAAGACAATATGCAAATGTGTGCTTTCCTTTGAGCTTTAAGATCGGGCCAGAAGGACTGGAGAGTGATCCGACAGGCTTCCCTGGGCCTGGAGGACCGCACTGAGCTGCTGTGTGTTTTGAATTGGGAATATGCAAACTCTCTTGTTCCTGTCCTGACGGGGCCAGCAGATGAAGGCTGCCATACTATACCTGTGTGGCCTCCCGGGTCCCATTGGAGGTGGCTAAGCAAACAGCCTGACAGAGGCCCCTGGGAGGGTCGGGGTCTGCAGAGCAGCCCCTGTCCGCTTTGACCCCGGCACTCTCCCACCCCTAGCTCCCCGGGTCCCTCCCATTTCAGATCGTCTACTGAGTACGTGGTTTGCTCCTTCACAGAGGGAAGAGGCCTGGCCGGAGGGACTTGCTGAGCCACCCTCATTCTGCTCCATGTTGGCGGTGCTGTCAGGTGAGGCGGTGAGAGGTCTGCAGCTGGGAACGTTTGGCCCGGAGGCGGCGGGACAGCCATTTTGTCTAGCCTCGCGAGTCCTATGAAATGGCCGCCAGTCCAGTGGCAAAGAGCTGTCCGTGGCTTGTTTTCCTAGCCTGTGACTTTGGAGGTTTAACCTCTGACCTTCATCCAGGCCTGAGGTATCCCTGGCATCTTCCAGCCCCAGATATTGGACATCCTGGTGTTGGGTGCCGGCCAGATGTGGATGGCTAAGGTTAACCCCTGACTAGTGGAAGCTAGTCAGCCTTCCACTGGTCTCTGACCGACAACATCTAACCCTCCACACCCAACCCCAGCTCACCTCCCTGCGTTTTGAGGCCCCTGCCCTCAGCCCCGCCTCTGAGATGCTCCCCTGACTTCTTCTCCTCTGTCTAGGCTGGTGCCATGCCCCCCCCAGCAGAGGTGACGGACCCATCCCACGCCCCCGCCGTCCTGCGCCAGCTCAATGAACAGCGGCTCCGAGGCCTCTTCTGCGATGTCACCCTCATAGCCGGGGACACCAAGTTTCCTGCTCACCGCAGCGTCCTGGCGGCTTCCAGCCCCTTCTTCAGGGAGGCCCTGCTCGCTGCAGCTCCGCTGCCCCTCCCACCAGCTATCGGGGGCTCGGCCCCTAACCCTGCCGCCACCACAGCTGCCTCCTCCTCCTCCTCCTCCTCTCCACCTCCAGCTTCGCCCCCGGCTCCCTCCCCACCCAGGGTCCTAGAGCTGCCGGGGGTCCCGGCAGCTGCCTTCTCCGACGTCCTCAACTTCATCTACAGCGCCCGCCTGGCGCTGCCCGACGGCGGAGGGGATGGGGCCGCCGTGGCCGAGATCGGCGCCCTGGGCCGGCGCCTGGGCATCTCCCGCCTGCAGGGCCTGGGGGAGGGAGGGGACGCCTGGGTGCCTCCCGCCCCGGCCCCCGCGGCCACCGCGCAGCCCGGAGAGGACAGCTTTGGGCCGAGGCCCGCGGGCGAGTGGGAGAGCGACAGGGCGGAGGCCCAGGCCGCTGCCCCGCAGCCCGCCCTGCCCCGGCCGCCCCTGCCCTGCCCGCGGTGCGGGAAGAGCTTCATCCACCCCAAGAGGCTGCACACGCACCAGGCGCAGTGCCGCCGCGGGGCCGGCGCCAGGAGCTCCGGGGGCCCCGCCGGCATGGACGCCGCGGCCCTGCCCCCCGCGGCGGGCCTCCGGGGGGGCCCCGAGCACGTGGTGAAGGTGGTGGGCGGCCACGTGCTGTACGTGTGCGCCGCCTGCGAGCGCTCCTACGTGACGCTGTCCAGCCTCAAGCGGCACAGCAACGTGCACTCGTGGCGCCGCAAGTACCCGTGCCGCTACTGCGAGAAGGTGTTCGCGCTGGCCGAGTACCGCACCAAGCACGAGGTGTGGCACACCGGGGAGCGCAGGTGAGTGGCTGGGAGGAATGGGGGGCGGGGCCGAGGGGAATCAGTCAACAGGCAGCACCCAGGCACCACGTGGACCAGGGAGGGAGCGGGCAGAGCATGGAGCCTAGGAAGTCATCCTGAGACTCTGCTCACCGCGGCCCCATCACCTGCTCTCCATCCTTACCCATCTCAGCCCAGCTCCTCCTGCTGATACTTCCTAGCACCTCTAGGTGCCACGACCGGCTGGTGCTATGAAGACCGAGGAGGAAGGATAGAAGTTATCCTCACGGGAAAAGACTGCCCATCAGTCGTTATAATATGTCTTTCCATAGTGTCCCTGTTCATAAGACCTTTCCCCTGTCATATGAGCTTAAAAGAAGGCCTGGTGAATTAGGCAAGGTGTGTGATTATTCCCAGGTCACAGCTGGGACAGCTGGGGTGGGGACACTGCACTAGGTAGGACTGGGGTCCCTCCCGAGGCTGGCAGGGTGGGTAAGCAGCACGAAAGGCGGGTGAGCAGTGGCTGAGGGGGTTCCAGGTCTGAGGGGAGGGCAGTAGAGGTTACGGGAAGCTGAGGCCCTGGCTTCAGGGCTCCTGACTCAACTGGCTCTGTCCCCACCCTGTCTCCCGTGCCGGCCCAGGTACCAGTGCATCTTCTGCTGGGAAACCTTTGTCACTTACTATAACCTGAAGACCCACCAGCGAGCCTTTCATGGAATTAGCCCAGGCCTCCTAGCCAGTGAGAAGACACCCAACGGAGGCTACAAGCCCAAGCTCAACACCCTCAAGCTGTACCGCCTGCTCCCCATGCGGGCAGCCAAGCGACCCTACAAGACCTACAGCCAGGGAGCCCCCGAGGCCCCTCTTTCTCCAAGCCTCAACACACCGGCCCCTCCAGCAGTGCCAGCCAGCCCTCCGCCTGGGCCCCCGCCTGCCCCGGAGCCTGGCCCCCCACACTCCGTCATCACTTTCGCCCGCCCGGCTCCCTCTGTCATCGTTCACGGGGGCAGCGGTGGTGGTGGGACAGGGGGTGGAATGGCCAACACAGGTGGGGCCCAGGCCGCCTCAGTCATCACTTACACTGCTCCCCCGAGGCCCCCCAAAAAGCGTGAGTACCCACCTCCTCCCCCAGTGCCTACACCCACACCAACCAGCCCTGCCACGGGGGGCAGCCCGGCCACGCCTGCAGGGCCTGCCGCGGCCACGGAGGAGACCAAAGGCCGCAGCCTGCGGGCCGGAAGGACTCTGACCTACGTGGCCAAGCCAGCCGGTGGGAGTGGCGGGGACGGGGCCCCCCCCGCAGGGCCCGGCCGGGGCCCTCAGCTGCAGGTGCCGCCGCCGCTGTGTCAGATCACTGTGCGAATCGGCGAGGAGGCCATCGTCAAGCGCCGCATCTCAGAAACTGACCTGCGTCCCGGGGAACTGAGCACAGAGGAAGTGGAGGAGAGTGAGGAGGAGGAGGAAGAGGAGGAGGAGGAGGAGGAGGAGGAATCGAAGGCCGGTGGGGAGGACCAACTGTGGAGGCCCTACTACTCGTACAAGCCCAAGCGCAAGGCCGGTGCTGCAGGCGCGGGCGGCGGCGGGGGCAGCGGGACCCCCAGGGGCCGCAGGCCGCCGCGCTGGAGACAGAAGCTGGAGCCCAGGAGCTGGGAGGAGAGCCCAGGGGCTGAGCGGAGGCACCGCTGCGGGGAGTGCGCCCAGACCTTCGCCACCCAGAGGAAGCTGCGGAAGCACCAGGAGGCCCACAGCGGGGGCTCCCACGGCTCCCGGGCCGGACGGAGGTCTTCCCGCTTTGCCTGCCCTCACTGCGCCAAGGTGTGCAAGACGGCGGCCGCCCTGAGCCGCCACGGGCAGAGGCACGCTGCTGAGAGGCCCGGGGGCACCCCCACACCTGTCATTGCCTACTCCAAGGGCAGCACGGGCGCCAGACCCGGGGATGTCAAGGAGGAGGCCCCCCAAGAGATGCAGGTCTCCTCATCCAGCGGGGAGGCGGGGGGCGGGGCTGCTGCCGCGGAGGAGGCTTCGGAGGCCGCCTCCGTCCAGGACCCTGTCATCTCAGGGGGTGAGGAGCTCCCCGCGGTCGCAGGAGGGGGCGCCTATGCATACCCACCTGTGCAGGAGTTCCCACTGGCTCTGATTGGAAGCGGCCGGGAGCCGGGCAGTGGTAGGGGAAAGGCGGGTAGTGAGGGGCCGGTGGGGGCTGGGGAGGGGGACCGAATGGAAGGGATAGGAGCTGCCAAAGTCACCTTCTACCCCGAGCCCTACCCCCTCGTCTATGGCCCCCAGCTCCTGGCTGCCTACCCTTACAACTTCAGCAACCTGGCTGCTCTCCCGGTGGCTCTTAACATGGTCCTGCCTGATGAGAAGGGTGGAGGGGCCCTTCCCTTCCTACCGGGGGTCTTCGGCTACGCAGTCAATCCTCAAGCAGTACCCCCCGCACCCCCAACACCGCCTCCCCCGACTCTTCCTCCACCGGTCCCCCCTAAGGGGGAAGGGGAGTGGGCAGGGATTGAAGGAACCCAGAAGGGAGATGTGGGGTGAGCTCTGGGCCCAGAGTTCCCCTTTCACCCTGAACCCCCGCCACTACCAGCTCCCTGGCCTCCTTGCCCCTCGGGAGCCCCTCCACACTCTTGTGCAGGGACTTGGGGGCCCCGGAGCTCAGGAGTCAGGCTGCTTTGTGTGAGATTGTAGTTTTCCTATCTCCTGGGAAGGGATCTTCGGTGGTTCCCCTCTCAGTTCTCCTCCAGGGAATGACCTCCGTGAGGGGCAGGGCCAGCTCCCATCCCCTTGGCCAGCCCTTGGGGCAACTGAGCAATATACTTCCATGACTCTCTACTCATGGCCCCCACCAGCTCTGAATGTCTGATCCACCCCCATTCGTACACCTAGGGGGAAACCATCTCTCTTACCTAACGTCCTCCCTCCTGAAGCTTTCTCTAAGCCCTTGCCCAGATGCTTCCTAGCACATTCCATTCTTGGCCCAGGGCCTGGACCAGACCATTGTGATACCTGACACCCACCCACAGGGGAGCTCGGCTTTGGATTCTATTCTTCCGACGGTGGATTTCTGTGTCCCTTTTTCCTTCACGTTCAGAGGCCATGCCTTCCTTGGCTTCCATGCCTTTGGATCTTCCATGTTCCTCCTCAGACTCCCAGACCCTGGAGATGGCCTCTTCCAGGCCAGGTCAAGGAGGTGTTGGGGAGGAGGGCTACCCATCTGTTCCTTTCCCAGCCCAGGGCAGCACCAATCTTGGTTCTATCTTGACCCCCAAATCCAGTGAGGCCCAGATTCTTCCAAGGCGAAAAAGATGAGTAGTTCACATCTCTTTCTGCCTCTACATATGGCCTCTTCTGGGCTAAACCAGATTTGGGGGCTAGGAGGGAGGACCTCCATAGGGGATGGGGAAGGGAATCTACTTTTTCCCTGTGTTTTGTTTTTTGTTTTTCCCCTTCTTTTTTTTCTTCCTGATGGTTTCTCCCAGACTAGACCAAATAGCCAGAAAAATAATGGGGGTTGGATGGGCAGGTAAGCTCAAGATTTGCACATGACCTCCCATCCTTACCTTCACCCCATCTTCCCCAGTACCACTTCCCTCACCAGTCACTCCACGTGGTTTTGGGGAAACCATACTATTCCCTCGGTGGGCTTTGGGGTATCCCCACCAATTTCCCCTCCAAAATAGCACCTTATACCCCATCTTTGATTCAATTCCCCACACCCAAAGATCCCAGCCTAGGATGGGGTTCAGGGACCTTACCGAGTCCCTAATCCCTAATTTGCACTAGTTAACCCTGGTCAGGGTCCCTCTGCTTCCTTCCAGTGGGTTGTTGGAGAAACATTTGCTCCTAATTCTCTGATAACGCCTCCCCACGCTGTGATTGGATGAGCATTTCCCATCTAACCCACCTCGCCCAAAAAACCCAGCTCACAAGGGGAGAGCCAGTCCTGGGGAGCAAATTTGAAAAATGGGAATTAGAGGAGTGTGGTTTTAGGAAGGGGGGAAGTTGCCTTTTTCGAAATGGCAGCCTTTTTCCCAGCTACTGTTTTCTGGGGCCAAGATGGCTGCCCTCTCAGAACACGTTGAAAGGGCAAGATCATGGCTTTTAGAGGGAGGTGAACGTGGGGGAGGGGCCAGGAGCATCCTCCTGCCTCCTCTTTCCCTCCCAGACTACACAAAGGGGGAGGTCCTTGCCAGGCCCCCTGAATGTTAACCATGGAGGGGTATCGCTCCTTCACTACTCCTCTGTCTCTTTGCACTTTTCTTGGTCTTGGCCACAGTCCGAGTGAAGAGTTTTCCTACTGAATGTACCAAGTTCCAATTTTTATGGGAGAAAAAAAACAAAAACATTTTTAAACGGAAAAATGCAACAACAAAAAAATCACTAAAACGTTCCCACAAATCTTGTTTCTGGCACTTTAGAAGAACTGCGAAAAAAGTACATAATAAAGAGTACATATATATATATATATCTATATCTACACACAGATTATATATATATACACACACAGCGGAACCACAAGAGAGACTGAGGAAGGCCTTGGAGGCAGGGGCCAGATGGGATGACAGTCCCCTTGTGTCCTTCACCTGAACCACTGAGGCAAAAAGGCACAGGAGATGGAAGGGGTTGAGGATGAGCCAGGGAATTTTCGTTTCTGCAGGTCAAAAAATCTAAACCCATTTAGGGAGAACTGAGATTGTAGACATTTTTTTTTTTTTTAATATGATTTAGGGAAAAGTTTCCAGAATTTGGTCATTCTGGGCAACAAAGGGGAGTGTGGCAACATGGCGGATGAAAAGACGTGGGGAACTTGAATGTTGTGAATTTCAGATGTTGGGAGTTTGGGGTTTTGCGATTTCATCTTTTGAAAAGTATCGTCTTGTCAGTTTGTGCCCGTTCCTCACGTCCCCTGGGTGGAAGGGTGGTGGTGGAGTAGGAAGGCCACTGGTTCTGTGCCACAGCACGCGAGACTTAGAATTCTGCAGAATAGTTCTATATGTAGCGAGGACCCAGATTTAGAGAAATTGACCAATATTTATCTCCGCATTTGTGTGTGTGTCCAACTCTCTAGGCCAATAAACCAACAAGACAAACAAACTGTGCTCCGCAGTGGGATGCCAGGTGCGATTCTTTGTGCGGTTGGTGGGGCTGGCTGGACGGGCATGCTGGCCTCGTCCCACAGGGATCCTGGGGAGCTGTAGCCGTTCTCTTAGGACAGCAACCGAGTAGGTGTGAGGTGTGTCACTGTAATTGCAGCAGCCTACGAGGCTCCAGCTGACTGTGGTCTGACCTCCAGGCAGAAACATTCAACTCAGTTCAGTTCACACAACCTGCTGGGCACAAGGTCCTCATGTCCCAGAAAGGCACTGCCTTCAATCAGGTGTAACCCTTTCTCCAAATTGAAAGGAAACAGGCCCAAAATATGGGATGACTGTGAGAGACAACCACCTTTCTTTTTTCCACTCCTGTCCTCCCATTGGCTTCCACTCCTGTCCTCCCATTGGCTTCCACTCCTGTCCTCCCATTGGCTTCCACTCCTGTCCTCCCATTGGCTTCCACTCCTGTCCTCCCATTGGCTTCCACTCCTGTCCTCCCATTGGCTTCCACTCCTGTCCCCCGTGCCCTTCCTGTATTTTGTCTAGTGTCACAGAGGGATGGGTAAGTAAAATGAGTGAAGCTGGTCAGGTGGGCGGGAGCTTTGAGGAACTGATCAGAGTGGGCAACCACTATGAGCTCTAGCAGGTTGCTGCCAACAGGGGAATCAGGCCCGGTGTTACTATAGGTTTTTTAAACATTTTTCAAGAGGAGCCAGAAATCCAAGTTTCTCTGTGAAATACCCAAATTTTAAAATTAGCTAACTAATCCAAATTTACAATCATTCAGGCCAAGCCCTAGCTGCTTTGGCTCAGTGGATAGAGCATTGGCCTGCGGACCAAAGGGTTCCGAATTCAATTCCAGTCAAGGGCACGGACCTTGGTTGCAGGCTCCCCGCCCCCCAGGCCCCGGCCTTGGTTGGGGGCGTGTGCACAGGAGGCAGTCAGTTGTGTTTCTCTAACATTGACATTTCTCTCTGTCTTTCCCTCTCTCTTCCACTCTCTCTAAAAATCAATGGAAAAATATCCTCGGGTGAGGATAAAAAAAAAAAAAGAATTATTCAAGCCAATACCATGGACCAAACAAGACACAAGTTTACAACCTCTGATACACACTACATAGTGCTTTTGTTCCCATCTATAATAATAAAAGCATAATATGCTAATCAGACCAGCGTCCTTCAGGATGACCTTCTGGATGAAGCTGGGGCTGTGCCAGGGAGAAGGAAGGCCTACTGTTGCACGAATTTTGCGTATCAGGCCTCTATTCTCCTATGATCCTTAGAGTACGGGGCAGATACTATTATTAGCTCCACTGTAAGATTTAGAAACTCAGAGCAGTTTAGTAGCTTGTCCAAAGTTAAAGCACCGTAGCTGGAACTGGAAGATTTTTTTAAGTGCGCTTTTTCTCATTACAAATACATCCTTTTAGAAATAACCTTTTCCCCCCTTATCTTAAAGATAATACTTATTTCAAAACATATTACGTTACAGAATGCTAAAAACAAAAATGACCACTAGTCCCAACATGCAAATGTAAGTGCTATTAATTGTTGTATTTCTTTCCAGAAAAAAAGTTTCCTATTTATTCAACAACTGTTAAGCAGGACATGGGCTAGGTGCTGGGATCCAAGACACAGTTCCTGCACTCATAAGGCTTACAGTCTTGTTTTTTTGTTCCTTTTTACTGGAACCCTGGGTGTTGATAGTCAAAGGAGTTTCTTTAAGAAGCCAAGGGGTAAATAAGCTGATATTGCATCTCTGGTGGGCTCAAGGCTTCCGTATGCCCAGTCCCACTTGGGTTTTCCCTGGAAACAAAATGACATGACTGGATCCCTAGGAAAGGAGCTAAGAGGCAGGAAGGGATAGGACCAAACTCTCAACTCAGCTGGCCGAGGACTTGGGTCTGTGCTCTAGGTCCTAAGGAAAGGGGTCGGGCGGGGGCAAGTGGTATGTGGCGTCCAGGAAGATGACGAGGGTCCCGACACTCGTGCAGATGATGAAGGTCCACAGGAAGAGGCGGTCCACTACCATGGCCACAAACTGCCAGTCTTCCTTCAACTGGGGGTAAGCAGAGAAAACTGTCCCTGAGCCCCGGGGAGGGCCGCCCCCCAGGTCCCTGCACCCGGCCTGGTCCTCCTACAGCAGCTCTGAGAGAGGGGCAGGCTGTGAAACCAGCGGTTGGTGACAGCGAAGAACCAGTGGGATTTAAAGAAAAGAAAAAAAAGAACCAGTTGGAAAGCAGGGGGTGGGACCAAGTGAGGAAAGCTTCCAATCAGAAATGAAAACGTCTTAGAGGCGGAGCCTGCGCTTGTGGGTGGAGGCGAGGCTTTGCCTGTCCCACCCTGGCTGGACTCACCGCGTCGTGGTCCTCCTGCTCCTGCAGCTGCCGGGCGATGTAACTGATGGAGGAGACGACCTCCCGCAACTCGGCGGGCAGGCCCGCGGCCCGGCTGGGGCCGTCGATAAATCGCCGTAGATCCAGGGCAGACAATTCAGGCTGGAACCTGGAGGACGCGGGACCGCTGGATCGGGTCCCCGGTGCCAAGACACAGGCTGCGTTCTGGCTCCAGCCCCCGCCCCAGCATCCTGCCCCTTTTCCACCGCTCTCAGGCTTTCCCGGCCGGCGGCAGGACTTCGCCAGCCGCCCCTAATTCCTCCCATCTCCATGGCGTAGTTGCCACCTTTCAGCAAAGGGGGCAGCAGGAGGGACACTACAACTCCCGTGATGCTCAGCATCTTTGGGGAGCTCAGACCGCCCGCCCCCGCACAGTCTTCTGGAAATTGTAGTTCCCCCTCTCTGAGCAGGCTCTACCTGTTGGGTTTGGGGAAGAGAAAATCATTCGGTGGTTTCCGGATGAAATATTCATCTGTTCCCCGACCCCAGCCACTTCCCGGAGGCTCCCTGAGGGCTACAGGAGGTGGCTCCGGCTTCTGGTCTCTCTCAGATTTGGGCCTCTTCAGTCCCAGGTACAGAGGGAGCTTGTGGATAAAGATCTGCAGAGTGGAAGAAGAGGCGTGTTGGAGGGGGCTCTCATGCTTTTAGACCAAAAGGGAAACAGCCAGCCACCCCCACGCCACATGCCCGTTTCTAAGCATGTGCGCATATGTGCCCCAGAGCTACACAGACAGGGAAATGCAACCGCACAGCCTTCTGAATTCTTGAGTGGACTGGAGCGATCCTGACTGGAGAGGAAGGTTAGGAGGCTTCTACCCTGAGAATGTGTCCCTGGGACCCTGGCAGGGCTGTATTGATGATGAGAGTATGGGACCTATGAAATGGTAATGATAGAAGGGTAAATGTAATGGTGCAATGTTTGGACACCCAGCAGGCCTGTGAAAGGGAAGGCTGAAGTGGTAGGAGGGAAAAGTCATACCTGGACAAAAAGCCAAATATTAAGATTAAGAGTTCATACGAGCTAGAGGGGGAATTTTCTTACCTGACGGACCCAAAAGGGCATCTGGTGGGTGTGAGGTGAGCGATGGTGCAGGTTGAGAACAACAACGCTAAGGATGACTGAGAAGGTGACGAGGACCATGGTAAACATGAGGTACTTAATAATGATGGGGACAGCCAGCGAGGTCTCAGGCACTTTGTCTGCCAGCAGCAGCAGGAACACAGTAAGAGTCAACAGGGCAAAGATTGAGAGCCCCATCTTCTCTCCTTGGGGGGCAGAGGGGAAGGCAGAAGAATTAGGCTTTGCCAGAAGACAATCCCCATGGCATAATTGGTGACTGTGTTTCCAGCCCACTCAAGGACAGACTTTTGGAAGGACCAACTGCATACAAATGATTCCTTCATTTATACTTCCAGCCTGGACTTATTCCCATAAACTTATTCACCTGCCAACTTAACCTCTCCGCTTGGATATCCAGACATCTCAAACTTAACATGTCTAAAACCCAATTCCCTCATCACCAACTCCTCCCACAGTCTTCCCCATTTCATAAATAACAACTTCATCGTTCCTGTGGCTCAGGCCAAAACCCTTTCAGTCATTCTCAGCTCTCTCCTCTCTCTCATCCCACATCTGATCCATAGCAAATCCTAATGGCTCTATTTTCAGAATAAATCCTGAAACTGATGGCTTATCACATCCACCCCTAACACTCATGGAGTATAAACCACCATTACCTCAGGGCTGAGCTATCATAAGGACCTCCTCTTTGCTTTATCCTTTGCTCCTCCCTTTCTCTGTTCTAAAGAGAGCAGCCAAATTGATCTTTTTTTGATTAAATAATTTTTATTGACTTTTAGAGAGAGAGGAAAGGGGTGAGAGAGAGAATAACATTGATTGGCCGCCTTCTGTACACCCCCTACTGGGGATGGAACCCACAGCCTGGGCATGCGTTCTGACCTGGAATTGAGCCAGCAATCTTTGGGTGCACAAGATGATGCCCAACCAACTGAGCAGCATTGGCCAGTTAAAATGTAAATCAGGCCCTGCCCGCATGGCAGCGTGGCTCAGTGGTTGAGTGTCAACCTATAAACCAGGAGGTCACAGTTTGATTAATATGTTACACAGATTAACTGAATTCTAACCTTTACAACAACTCTGAGGTAAGTACTGATTACCTTACAGCAAGTGCTCAAAAATAGCAAAGACAACACCACCAGTTACCTAGAATTTACTGGGTATCCTCAAAATAATCCTATTCTGTAGGAAAAACCATTGTCCTCATTTCTAGATTAAGAAACTGGAGACACATGGAGATGAAGGAATTCGCACAAGGTTACTTTTACTTCATTATGCTGCCGCCTAGAGAAAGGTTGGCTGTTACTGCCAAGAGAAATAGGAGTTTAAGAGACTAGTAGGCGGCCCAGTGGGCGTGGCTCAGTGGTTGAACGTTGACCTATGAAACATGAAGTCATGTCTCTCTCTCCCTCTCCCTTCCTCTCTGAAATCAATTAAAAAATTTTTTTCTTTTTTTTAAAGAGTAGTCGCCCAGGAACAAGAGGTCACTGGTTAGATTTCCCATCAGGGCCCACTCCTGGGTTGCAGGCTCAATCCCCAGTAGGGGGCATGCAGGAGGCAGCCGATCCATGATGTTTCTTTCCCTCTATCCTTCTCCCTTCCCCTCTCTCTCTGAAAATAAAGATATTTTTAAAAAAAGGAGAGAGAGAGAGAGAGCCCTAGCTGGTTTGGCTCAGTGAATAGAGCGTCGGCCTGTGGACTGAAAGGTCCCAGGTTCTATTCCAGTCAAGGGCACATGCTTGTGTTGCGACAGGACCCCCAGGAGGGGGCATACAAGAGGCAGCCGTTCAATGATTCTTTTTTTTCTTTTTTTTTAAATATATTTTTATTGATTTTTCACAGAGAGGAAGAGAGAGGGATAGAGAGTTAGAAACATTGATGAGAGATAAGACATTGATCAGCTGCCTCCTGCACACCCCCTATTAGGGATGTGCCCACAACCAAGGTACATGCCCTTGACTGGAATCAAACCCGGGACCCTTCAGTCTGCAGGCTGACGCTCTATCCATTGAGCCAAACTGGCTTTGGCCAATGATTCTTATCATTAATGTTTCTAATATCTCTCTCCCCGTCCCTTTCTTTCTGAAATCTATATATATATATATATATATATTTAAAGAAATAAAAAGAGAGAGAGGGAGAGAAACTAGTAGGTGTCTAAAAAATGAGGGAAGGAGGATACAAAAAATGAGGACAGGGAAAAGGAGAGTTGTCTAAGTCTGGGAGGTTGTTGGCCGGAGGGGTAGAGGTTTGCAGGATGAGATACCAGCATTCTGAGTATTCAGGATTTATGGGTGAAAAGCAGTGAGCAGCAGAAGACAGACAGAGCCTGAGGCCAGAGGAAAAATCTGGATCCAGAAAAACAGGCTCTGGTTGAAGAAAACCTGAGGGAGATCACTGAAGCACAGTCTGTGGTGGCTTGACTCGACAGAAAAACCTTGCCTGGATTAAAGGTGGAGAGGAAGCCAAAGCCTGTTTGGCTCAGTGGTAGAGCGTCGGTCTGCGGACTGAAAGGTCCTGGGTTCAATTCCGGTCAAGGGCATGTACTACATTGGTTGCGGGCACATCCCCGGTGGGGGGTGTGCAGGAGGCAGCTGGTCGATGTTTCTCTCTCATCAATAGCTCTCTATCTCTCTCCCTTCCTCTCTGCAAAAAAATCAATAAAATATATTTAAAAATAAAAAAATAAATAAAGGTGGAGAGGAAGAAGCTGAGCTACTGCTAAAAATGAGGCTGGGCCTGACCAGTGTGGCTCAGTGGTTGAGTGTCAACCCTGAACCAAGAGGGCGAGGTTCGATTCCAGTCAGGGCACATACCTAGGGCGCATACCTGGGTTTTGGGCTCGACCTCCAGTAGGGGGTGTGCAGGAGGAAGCTGGTCAACGATTCTCTCTCATCATTGATGATTCTATCCCCCTATCCCTCTCCCTTCCTCTCGGAAATCAATACACACACACACACACACACACACACACACACACACACCAAACAACAACCCAGTGCTGGGGCTGCTTCTCCCTCACCTGCGTCTGGCGGCAGGTAGAAGACGAAGATGGCCAGGAGGGTAATGAGGATGCAGGGCGCAATGACATTGACCAGGTAGAAGAGAGGCTTCCGGCGAATGATGAGGTAGAAGGTGACTTCTTCGTGCTGTCCTTCCCCCGAGCCCCTGGGATCCCCTGGAGGCGGGATGAGCCGAGAAGGCTTGTGGATGATCTCCCATTGGCTATTCTCTTGGCGAAGGGGAAGAAGAACGGGAGAAGGGGACACAGATGTGGGACCTGGTCCTTGTTGGCGCGGATGTGGCTGGCTCTACCACATTCCAGAGCAGAGGAGGCTGATGCGCTGAGGGGCTCGCTGTGACCGCTGGGCTGGACAGCCCAGCATCAATAAACTGAAGTAAGTCTTAATTCCCATATTTGCAAAATGTAGACAGTCATACCTCTCTTGCTGACACCACAGGTTTGTTTGGGCATGGGGGATGGAGCATACTTATCAGCCTGTTAGAAACCGGAAGCCATAGAAGCCATGGAAGTGGGAGCCAGGCCCACTCACCGATGAAGGTCCCTTCATGAATGTACACTTCCTGCCGGTCCTGCCCATCTGGACCCGCGCCAGTGTGCAGGCTGACCTCGGAGCTGTCGTAGCTATAGGAACGGAACACCATGGTGCAGTTCTGCCAGTCAAAGGGAAAGTAGGTGACCTGCATGGGAGGAGGAGTCACTAGAGCTGGCAGAGACCTGGTCAGCGCTGGGGGAGTTAGAGAGATCACAGGGCAGATAGGGGTCGTGGAATATGGAGCACCAGGAAGCTGAGGGCCAGGAGAGGTCACAGGGAAGTGGGGATCACAAAGGAATTGGAAGGTTATTAGGGGAGGCATGGGCCCAGGAGGGGAGTTACTGAGGAGGACTGGAAGTCAGTGAAAGGAAGCACTGAAACAATGGAAAATCAGGAGAAATGTGAGGGCCATCATGGCGGAGGGGTACGGGTCAGGAGAGCTGAGGAGACGGAGGGTTTCTAGGAGCGCCCTGAGTCTCCGGGTGGGGCCCAGAGACCTGGATGCTGCAGCTGCTGCGGTAGTTGCCAGGGGGCTGCCAGCGCACCGAGCCATCGGAGGCCACCACGACGTTAATGTCCAGCGCGACGCCAAAATTCCCGTCGTTGCTGCGGGAGGAATCTGCTCAGGTGGGATCAAGCTCCTCCCTCCGGTCCCCCCTCCCCCCAGGGGCCTCGCCCACCCCAGTCTTGGAAAGACCCTACTTGTTCAGCAGCACCACGTCCGGGAGCCACACGGATGCAGCGGTGATGCGGAGCAAATCGATGCCTTCGTAGTCGGCGGGGTCCCAGCTCAGCCTGTAGTCCTTCCACTCCTAGGAAAGCAGAGGCCCGGGGGGCCGAGGGACTGCGGCTGGGAGGGGACTTGGAGGATCCGAAGGAAGCGCGGTGAGGGCCCGGGTGGGGGGCAGCGGGGGAGGGTGGAGCGGGGGAGGGGGGCGGAGATCCTGGAGGCCGGGAGTTCTGGTTCTGGCTCCACCTGCACAGGCTCGGACTCCAGCAGCTAATTCCCCTCCCTCGCAACGGGGCCCAATGTTTTAGTCTATAACTACCAAGACGCTGCACTACGGTGGTTTTCAAACTGCAGTTGGAGACCTGTTAGTGGGTCAGGAGTCAAATTAAGGGCCCCAAAATAGTTCAAAAAAATTAGAGTGAGCCCTAGCTGGTTTTGCTCAATGGATAGAGCGTCAGCCTGCGGACTGAAAGGTCCCAGTTCGATTCCGACCAAGGGCTCATGCCTGGGTTGCGGGCTCGATCCCCAGTGGGGGGCGTGCAGCAGGCAGCCAATCAATGATTCGCTCTCATTATTGATGTTTCTATATCTCCCTCTCCCTTCCTCTCTGAAATCAATAATATATATATATTTAAATAGAATGAAAAAAAAGCATGAAGTACAACTCCTGCAATAAAGATGGCATAGTTTCCCGACCCTTCTGTTTCCGTTATACATGTGTGTGTTTTTTTTATTGTAGTTCATGGTGAAAAAAATTATTTTTGACTGGGCCGGACATTCGAGGACATTGGTAAAGGCTGCGGGACACCATTTCCCATCCCGGGGGTCCTCCGTACCAGGTCTAAGTACACCTTTGTGGTCATCTCCTCGTCCTTCTCGTTCTAGAAGGGAAACGTGTAAAAGATAGAGGTGATATAAGTGGAGATAAGGGAGGGGGTTCGGCGGTCTAGCTCTCTGGAAACTCCCCGCCCCCCCCCTTTTTTTTTTTTGAGTCCCACCCTCTTGGGCCCAAGCCCCGCCTCTACCTCCCAAACTTCCTGCGGTCTGAGCTGTCAGTAATGCCTCCCCCGCAGGGCCCACCCACAGCTCCAGACCCTGCATCCCCGCCCGCTGCTGCTGATTGACGGATCCAGCCCCAAGCCCCGCCCCCGCCTGTGACCAGCCTCCAGGCCCGCCTCCCAGCCAGCGCAGCGGCCCCAGTTCCCTTCATCTGCGTCCAAAGGCCGGTCCGTCACGTCCCCGGCTCTGCCCCTCCGGCATTCACGCCGGTTTGGACCCTGTCTCTGCCGGCGACCCGTCCATCTCTCGGCCTCGGCCCGCCCCCGGGCCCTGGGTCCGGCCCCGCCGGTGGCCCGCCGGCCCCGCGCCCAGCCTGACCTCCGCGTCCTCACCAGGCTGATGAGCTGCGCCAGCCGGAGGCCGACGCTGACCCCGACGCGCTCCCCGAGCTCCCGCGCCGGCCGCACCGAGCTGTCATAGTCCGAGAAAAGTTTCTCCCGGAGCCGGCCCTCTGCCTCCGAGCCGCGGGCGCCTGGACGACAGCGCCCATGAAGCCGTGGTGCCCGGCCGTGACCTCTGGCCCGTCCCCGGCCCTGGGAAGAAGCCCAGACTTACCCGGGGCGAACGGCGCCCCCAGAGCCCCCAGCAGCAGCAGCAGCAGCGCCCCTGCGGCCATGGCCCGGCCGGCCGCGGTCAGGGAGTCCGCTCAGTGAGCACCGGGAGGGCCAGCGCAGGGGAAGTGACGAGGCGCCCGAGAATGTGCACCTGTTGTTGGGGGGCAGCCGCCAGCCCACCCGCCCCGCCCCGCCCCTGGGACTTGATCCCGCCCCGAGCAACTGCCAGAGCCCGCCACCCACTGATCACAGACAACACATCCGTTGTACAAATCTTCTTTATGTGGGAATGCAGGGAGTGGAACCTGGTCCCCCGGGAGCAGAGCCAGGACACGGGCAGGGCCTGGACGGGGTCTCTGTGGGTGAGAGAAGCATCAACCCCTCTAGCAACAAGCTAGAAGTAGAAAGAGCCTGAGGAAAAGCGACCTGCCTCTCCCGCCCTCCCTGAGGGCCTCCCTGCCCAGAGCCCACCCCCTAATTCACTGGTAGGTTCCTGATCTTTTCCAGGCCTGCCCCCAGCTCTCCGTGGCTTTTTGTTTGTTGTTTTTTTTGTTTTGTTTTGTTTTCAGAAGAATCTAGCCAGGCTCTTTTTAGGTACCTAAAACACAGCTGAGGTTATAAGCTGTAAAGTAAAGCAAGTTCTATTCAGTTAGACGCTCTGGAGTTACATAAGGTTTGCAACCCAAGAGAGGCCCTCACCCTCCTTGGCCCGACTTAGGGGAGCGTGGTGAACTGGGATATCTTCCGTGGGATGGTGAAGTCTATATAATGATTTTTATTATCATTGGGGTGACACTAGTTAACCAAATTATACAGGTTTCAGGTGCACAATTCTACATCATCTGGATACTGTAAGGTCTATGTCATATCTGTTCTTTTTATTCTAGACCCATTACCCTAATGCCCTCAGCGTTGGAAGGGATCTGGAAGGAGGTAGTGAAGTGTTCATGTCCCCCAAACCCAGGCACAGGTCCAATTATGTCATGATTTTGACCCCTTCCCCATCCTAGCTCCCCCACAAGCCAGGGTTTCCTTCTAGAACTCCTCAGCCCTTCTTCAGATTTATTTCCCTGGCCCCCAGCTGACCTAAACTGCATGTAAAAATAAGGTTAGCATTCTCTAGGACACATGTGTTAAACACAAGGCCCGCGGGCCAAATCCATCCCGCCAGGCCTTGCAATGTGGCCCGCACCGCACTGTCATCACTGCACTCCGCTGCGTTTCCATCACAATGACAGTTTATGACTGTTCAGTAAACCATTCGGCCCGAGATTTAGGCTGGATTTTAGATTTTGGCCCCTTCTCTGATTGAGTTCGACACCCCTACTCTAGGAGGAAGAGTATGACTTTTAGAAAATTATCTAAGTAAAACAAGAAGTAGCTCTTAATTCATCCAGGACTTAGTTCTTTTTGAATAACAGTTGGGTCCTTTCCAGAACTCATCCTTACTAGATTTCACTAGAGAATGGGTCTAGAGTAATAAGATGGCTGTATAGGCCCCAGTTCCATCCTGGAGGGAAGGGTGGGGAGTCATCGTGGTCTATATTCTAGAGCTGAGATTTAGAAGGAAGTATGGCTCCAATATGTGTCCAGAACACCATGCTCTAGTATAGGGTGTCTCTGGGATTAAAAAAAAAAAAAAAGTTAAACCTGTAGTAATCTGAGACTGGCCCCAATTCAGGCCAAGGCCAAGAGCTGGCAGGGCTCACATCCTGCCTCTCTGCGTGGAAGCCCGAGGTCTGTCTGGGTTGAGGAAGCCGGTGGACAGAGTCTTAGTGCAGAAATGGCCCTGCTGAGGTGCCTGGTGTCGCAGAACCTGTTCAGAACAAGGCAGCAGGTGGAGTTGGGAAAGGACACTCATCCGGAGCTCCGGGAGATCTATAAATCCATGACTCCAAGGCCACGAAGGGGCTCCAGGAGCTGGCTGAGCCTGGGGAGGGGAGTGCTGCAGTCCTGTTCTGTTTGGAATCCCCGGTGCCATCTTAGGAAAAGGCTTTGCAGGGGGTGTACGTGTGGGAGGAAGGAAGTGATCAGCCAGGACCGTTTTCAAACGTCCACCTCTAAGGCCCAAGCATCTCAGGTTTGCAGCGGTTCCTCGGCTCCCTCGGGGAAGAGCACCTGGTGGGACCCGGCTGCTCAGGGCGTGAGGATGGCAGCTGGGGTGAGAGCAGGTCCGGGAGCAGGGCTGGGAGACAGGCTGTGGCGGTGGCTAGACCGGTGCAAGGGCAGGAGAGTCCAGCCCAGGGTCTACACTTCAGGGGGCAGGGGGACTGGAAGGAGAAGTGTCAGGGACACTGTGGAGAGAAGGCTCCCGGTACATGGCCACTGTGAGAGGGGGAGAGAGGAGCAGGAAGGAGAATTAGGCACAGAATCAGACCTCTGAAAGGGCTCCCTTCCCCTATATTCATCCTCTGAGAACCCCAAGCCCATAGGAGGAGAACTCCCCAAACCCCCAAAGACCAAAGCCTTCCTGGCTTGGTCCTCCTCACACTTGTAGCTCCTGAAATGCATGGCACTGAATGTCCATGTCAAGGTCAATACCCTCCCACGCCGAGACCGGTTTGGCTCAGTGGATAGAGCGTTGGCCTGCGGACTGAAAGGTCCCAGGTTCGATTCCGGTCAAAGGGCATGTACCTTGGTTGTGGGCACATCACCAGTGGGGGGTGTGCAAGAGGCAGCTGATCAGTGACTCTCTCTCATCGATGTTTCTAACTCTCTATCCTTCTCTCTTCCTCTCTGTAAAAAAAATCAATAAAATATATATTTTTAAAAAATACCTCCTACATGGCCCCTATTTTCTCCAGTCCATACTCACCCTCCAGGAGCTTGGGCACAAAGTGGGCAGCTGCCTTGGTCTTCTTGACCCGATTTCCCTTCATGACTCGGCCCTCTTTGTCCAAGCCTAGGTACCAGGCCCGGCCAGAACGGCACTGACGGTAGAGAGCAGAGGCGTACAGGACATAATAATTCTCAAAGACACACTCCTTAAAGCGACACTCAGCTGTGAAATGTTGCTGAGGAGACAAGACCCAGGAAGGCACACACAGACAGAGAGACAGAGAGACACATCACTGGACAGAAGGGAGCGCTGGGAAGAACAAGCCAGAGTATAACCCGTACATTCCAGGCTGGGAGGGCCACCTTCTGATCCATGTGGGGAGTGGGAGAGAGCAGGGACGAGGAAGAGTCTGGTAGGCCCCTGTGGGTTGGGAACTAGACTCTGGAATGAGAAGATACCTTCTCTCCACTCTCTTCCCAGCCCCTGACCAGTCCCTGTTCTGAACGACTCTGGGGCAGGGAGTAATAATGAAGCCTGGATGGGGTGGGATGAAAAATAGGGGCCCTAAAAGGCTGAGAGAGGTGGACATTTAAGAAGCCTGGGGGTATCTGGAGGGCTATGGGAGAGTAGGGTTAGAGGGACCCAAGAGATGCTCTGGAGAGGGCAGTGATGACAGGACGCCAGCAGGTGCGGGAGTGAGCGGGAGCCCTGACTGGAAAAGGGCTGAAGTTGAGAAAGCTGTAGCTGGGGACTCCACACCCCAAGCCACTCTCACCGAGCTGTAGAGCAGCCCCTCGGCATTCATGGCCATGTAGTGACCCAGCTTGGCACTCTGGATGGTGACCACTCGGAGCCCCACGGGGATCAGATTAAAGTGGGCTGGGGAGGGAGAGAGGGGGAATCAGTACCCCAGGCCTTGAACCCCCATCTGAGCTCCCCCCATCCTAGCTTCACTTCCTCCCTTGGGAGTCAAAGAGGCAGACTGAAAACAACAGAAACCCAGCGGGAATGGGACTGCCCTAGTCTCCTGGCCCCACTCTCCCCCTTCCCGCCCCGGGTGGCTTCCCTCTCACTGAAAGAGCTGGTGTCCTCTGGGGTTCCCTGGATGCTCCCGTCGGGGTTTGCCTGGAGGTAGAAGCCCTGGCGGCAGAACAGTTTGGTGACGACGCCTCTGAGTTGAGGCTCTAGAGAAAGAGACATTAATCTTTAGAAATGACATTTCTGTTCCCAGAAACATTCCCACACTCGGTGGGATCAGAGGAGAAAAGAGAAGGGAGAGAGGAGGGAAGGAATAGAGGACCACGGCCCCAACTTTCTGACCCTCCAGGAAAGCTCTCTCACCTCTCCTGGATTCTGGAGGATGCTGAGGTGTGTGTTCCTTCTGCTTCCTCTAACCTTAGCCAGCTTTCAGTTTAATTTATTGAAATTTATTGAAATGGATTAATTCCTACTCTACAGCTCACCCAGAAGAGGGGAGGAGGAAGGGGAGAAATATATCAAAAAGCTAGAGGGAGACAGGCAGGGCTGCTGAAGTGCCATTGTGTCTGCAAATGTGGGGGGGCAGCAAGGTGACCACAGGGTAGGGGCGCCCTCAAGAGCGGAGGTGGGTCTGGGCCTGACGCTGACTCAGCACCTGCTGCTGCTGCTGCTCGCTTGGCACGGGCCTCGCCTTTGGCCCAGCGCCGGCCAGGCTGACACTGACCCACTGTCTGTACCTGCCAGTCCGCTGGCTCGGGGGCCCAGGTCTCCCTGAGGCTCAGCCTTTCCCCTTCAGCCAGGTAACCCGTCTGGGGTGGGGGACGTTGGGTACCAAACCTACGAAATGGGGGAGGGGCGGGGAGGAGGCGAGGCAGGTTGGGTCACGTGGCGCCAGGGTCCCCTCTGAGGGTGGGCTGCGGACCGTACCATGCGGCGGGCCGGCGGCGGGGGGGGAGGGCGGAGGGCGGAGGGGGCTCACCCTATCGGAGCCAGGAGCGGGCGGGAGCAGGGCCAGAGGGACTCCCCGCCTGTGGCACCTGGACGGGGACCGCACGCTGACCCGCACAGCTCTCCACGCCGGTCGCTCGCTCTCGGACGACTTCCGCGTACCCCCTCCCCTCGTAGGTGGTACGACCCCCGTCTGCATGCGGGCCCCCCCACAGCCCCGGGCTGTGTCGGAGCTCCTCGCAGCAGAGGGTCCCCTGCGCTCGCGGGGCCCGGTCTCGGAGTCCCGTGGAGGGTGTTGGGGGGAACCCAGCTCCGTTCTGGAAGCTCAGGTCCAGGGAGGAGGGCGCGCAGAGGGGCGGCTTGGCGAGGTGGCTGCAAGGACACCCAGGGGAGAGCCGGGGGATTGGCGCGGAGCCAGGCCAGCCCGGCCGGCCGGGAGGAGCCGCGCCAAGAAGTGGAGGCGCGGGGAGCGGGTGGGGGCGGGGCCGCCGGCGCGGCAGAAACTCTCGGGGTGACCCAGGCGTCCGGAGCCCCCAGCCCCCTCGGCTGTGGATGGAAAGGATCGCGAGAGCCTGCACGTAGGCGAAGGGCCATGGGGGTGCGGGCTGGGGAGGGGAAAGAGCGGAGCCGCAAGGCTCGGGGCGCCAGACTCAGCCCCTCCAGCCTTCCCCTTGCCCTCAAAAGCAAGGAGACTCGGGGTTACGGGCACAAGAGGAGGGAAACTGAGGCAGAGACTGGCAGAGACTTTGTGGCTCACCCCCTCTCGCTTCCCGGGAGCTCCCTCGGTCGGGCTCCATGCTTCAGAGCCCCTCATCTCCACCTCCCGGCAGAGGGACCCCAGCCCCGGACACCCCGCCCAGCCACTCACCGGGGCCGCGGGCCAGCCGCGCGGGCCGCCCCCCGCACAGCCGCACCTTGGACAGCAGGACGAGGAGCTGCTTCTGGCAGAGGGACTTGGTGCCGCGGGGACACACGCGCCGCTGCGCCGACACCGGCCGGCTGCCCCCGGGCTCGCGGACCTCCCGTTTCTGCCGGATCAGGCTACTGGCCAGCGCCGCCATGGCGCCCCGGGAGGAGACACCCCCAAACCAGCGGGCGCTGGGCTCCCCCGGAGAAGCCCGCTCACCACGGCATGCTCTGGGCTCTCCTTCCCGGCTCGCCGCCCCACCCACAGGACCTTAGGGCTGAGCCTCAGCACCCCCCACCCCCAAGCACCAGCGCTCACCCTGGGGCCCCCTCGCTAGCTCCACTGGATCCAGAAGCCTATGGACCTCGGGTAACCCCACCCTGGACGTTTGCCCCCTGAAAGTTTAGCCCCTCCTTGCTCTCCAGCATCTCTGTCCCCACTTACCCTATCCCAAAGTCAAAACCGTCAAAATTTCCGCTATGTGGTTCCAACATCCCCAGGCATCTTTTCACGCTATTTCAGCGCCCCTGCACGCCTGCCAAATCCACTTTTATAATCTAAAGGATGTGGATCCTTCGCTTTGGGAATATTAACTCACCCCACCCCTGTTGGGGCACTGCCAACAGTCAGGGGAGAATCCAACTTCGGTGTCTCTGCCACCCTCTAAGTGATCCCCCACTTTTCCCCACGGAAAGCCCCCCAGAGTATGTCTTGGAATATCCAGGCTGTTCCTGTTCAGTGATCAGACTCAGTCTCTAGACAATACCTCTTTTTCCCCCACCAAGGCACCCCCATTTCTAGTGGCTCAGGGTTCAAATTGCCGAGCCCTTTCCCTCCCCTTGTTACCCTGCACTATGTTTGAAGTCACCTCCAAATCCACCCTTCCTGTCGGAGGGCCCTCTGTCCACCCGGATATACTAAGGGGGCAGCCGTTTTGGAGGTGTTTTCCTCTGACCGCCTCTTAACTTCCTCAGGAACAGCGGGGGCTGTTTAGACCTCACGCCCACCAACCCAACCAGCCCCCAGAGAGAGGAGTGCCCTCATGTCACCAGTTCCCAAATGTGAACAGGTCCCCTACAAACCCGAGCGCATCCCTGCCACAGGGCTTCCTCCTCCTCCTCCCTGGGACTGCCCAGAGAACCCCCCTTTCCCCTGACGCCCCTCGACCTGTCCTGTCTTGTAGATCTCGCGACGAATGGTGCCGGCTCCGGCTCCAGGCTCCTCCCTCCCTGTCCCCCGCAAACGGAGCTTCCCTCCACGCCTGGCCGGGCGCCCTGAGCCCCCCAAAGAGTGAAGGTGCCTCGCAGAGCGCCTGGTCCGGTGAAATCGGAGCACCGGGCCTGGCGGCGGGACCCAGTGCGGCGGCGGTGGAGGTGGCAGTGGCGGCGGCGACAGCAGGAAGCTCCGGCGGCCGCGGCAACCGCAGCTCCCGCTTCTCCGGGAGCCGGCCTGGGGGCGGGGCAGGGGGCGGGGACGCCGGGAGAGGGGAGTTCAGTGGGGCCGAAGGAACCCTGGGGTTCCTTAGAGGCAGGGAGTGGGATGGTCTTAGAGGCAGGGGGAGCCGAGGCAAGGCCGCATACCTCGGGGTTCAGAGGAGGAGGAACCAAGGTGACTCCACGGAATGGAACCCTGGAAGGGGGGTGGGAGGGGGTGGGGAGGAAGATTGGGCTTAAGATCAATGGAAGGGTGAATACCCAGAGAGTGAAGGAACCCCAAGGCCCAGGGTGGGAGGACAGAACTGAATGAGGAAAGTGGGGTAATAACTGAAGATGTTGGGGGGGGGGGGGGCAAGGAGCTGAGATCTAGCCTGGGGCGAAATCCGGCCTCCTTAATATGATTGCCTTTGTGTGAAACAAATTAGTCTGTCATCTCCAACTGCTCTCCTTTCCGTGTGTTGTCAGGAAATATACCGCCCCCCTCCTGCCTCCCACCTTCCTATAGACTCCCCAAAGACCGTGAGAACTGGGGGGAGATAGTTGCCAGGCTGTATTAGGGCACGAGGGATGCTGGCCACAGATGTGGGAGAGCCGAGAAGCCAGACTGGACAGACCTTTCCCCGGAATGGAGCGCGAGGCGAGTGGAATGACGGCAAGGAACCGCAGGGATGCCTTCTAGAACGGAATTTTGGGTCCAGGGTGCTAAGTGTCTCCCACGTGCGGGGCTTTCCATGCTGGTAGGAGTCCTTCGTGGGCCCCGCCTCCCACCCCGGCCAAGCCGCCCCCCTTGCGCGCGGTCTTGGCCTCCTCCACGGTGGCGCCCAGGGCGCGGGCAGGGTCCGCACGGAGCCGGGCCAGCGCCGCCAGCAGCGCCGCCGCGCGGTCGCCGGCCCAGAGCTTCCGGCCGCTCAGGAAATAGTGGGGGAGAGTCCCGGCCTCGAGCGCGCGGCTCAGCTGGTCCAGCAGCCCCAGGCAGCAGGCGCCCGCGTTCTCCGGCCGCGCCAGGTACAGCGCGGGCAGCCGCTCGCACGCCCAGTAGAGCAGCGTCCGCAGGAGGTAGGGCGCCGCGGCGCGGGTCCCGGCCACCAGGGGGCGCAGCAGCGCCTGGGCCGCCGCGTGCGCCTGCAGCAGCGGAGCGGGGACGAGCGCCTTGAGCGCCAGCTCCTGGCGGGCGAAGCACAGCTGCCAGGCGGAAGCGCCCGGCCGCTCCGCGCCCCCGCCCGGCACCAGGTAGAAGGAGGGCGCCTCGGAGGCCAGCGGGCCGGCCCACGAGTGGCTCCGGGCTCCCTCGGGCCAGCCGTTCACGGACACCACGGGGATCAGGTCGAAAAGCAGCAGGCGGCGTGGGGGCCCCGGGGTAGCCAGGAGGATGGTGGTGAACCCCGCGTGGCGGGCCGCGTGGACCAAGAGCGGGGCGCCGGGGACCGGGACCAGGGACCCGGCGACCTCGGCCAGCGCGGCGAAGAACCACGCCGCCACCTTGGCGGGGCACAGCGTGGGCCACGCCCCCGGGGCCTCCGACGGCGGGGCGGTCGGGCGGTCCGCGGCCGCTTCAGTGACGTCACCGTTCGGTTTGTTCGCGGATGCGGGGACGCCAAGGTCAGCTGCATCCGGCCCAGGCGACTCGGGCCCCGGACGGTCACTAGGCGATTTTTCCAAAGACACGTGCAGGCCAGGCTCGGTGACGTCACGGGGCGGGCGGTCCCCGGGGCTTTGGGGATCCCTGGGACCGTGTTCGCTTTCGGCTCGGTGCAGCGGTTCACGTCCTCCTGGGACTCGGGGTCCCAGGCAGTCCTGCCAGGCCTTTCGCACCGGGGTTCCGCGCATCAGCTCTGGGAGGCGGAGCCAGGCAGAAGAGGATTCCATGTCCAGGTGCAGCTCCTGCCCAGCGCCCTCCAGAGAAAACACCGGCACCAGCAGTGTGAAGCCGGCGTCGTAGTGAGGCCCCCGGGCATAGGGGCCCAGGGGCGCAGGCCCCAGATCCACAGAGCCCTCGCGGATCCCGCCACGGAGCAGCAAGAGCTCCGCCTGGGGCGGAAAACGGGGGTCTCGGCGGTGCACCAGACCTGCGGGGAGAGAAGGGGCTGTGACACGCAGCTCCGGGGCGGGGCCGGGCTGCGCGCTGCTGGAGCCGGGATGGCTACTTACCCAGCAGAGCAAAGACAAAGTCCTTGGCCCGCAGGAGGTCTGGGCTGGTCTTGGGCCCGTCTCTCCAGCTCTCCTGCACTCCCAGCTCCTGGATCAGCTGGGTCAGTTCCTGGAGCTGCGCTCCGGAGCAGAAATCGATGTCGGTGAGCGGGCGGGCTGGGGCTGGGGGTGGCGGGCCCCACCAGGGGCCACTCCCCCAGACCACGGAAGCCATTCGGCTCTACGGTTTAGGGGAAAACACAGACGAGAGGAAGCCTAGACCGGCCAAAGAGTCACCTCCGCTCTTCTCTCTTTCCGAGGCCGAGAGGGTGCCTCACACCAAGCGCGCCAAGGGGTCTGCAGATAAAGGGCTGTGAGTTTAGTCTTGAAAACGAGCAAATAAAGACCTCCTCTGTCCTTGCCCTTTCTCACAATCTGGGCCCCGCCCCCATGGACCGGTGCACCTAACTCAGCCCCTCCTCCGGAATGTGCTAGCCCTCCGCCGTCCCTGCCCACCCCCCCTCACCTCTTTATTTCCCCCCGGAAAAGGCTTCAGGTCTGCGGCTTCCCTCTAAGGGGTAACTGCAAGAGTTGGGAAGAAAATGGCTAGAACAACCCAACAGGTAACTTCTTCCTGCTGCCGCAAGGCCACGCCCTGGCGTCCCAGCCTCGCCCCTTTCCAGAAGCCTGCAGGTGGCTCGGGCCCGGCCCCGCCCCTGTCTGCACGCCTTTCGCTGTTTCAGATCTCGCGCTGTCCGGGGAGCTGCAGTCTGTGTTCCGCGTTCCCGAGCCCCCACGTCCTCTCCCGTTCCTCCGAAGGGCCTGGTTGAAGTTGTAGTTTCTATGGAGATACACTGTTTTGTTCCCAAGCCCAGGTCAGCCCCACACAAACACTCCCTGGGGTTGGAGCAGAAGGGTAATATTATAGGACATATCTGAATAGCAGACAATAGTGATGGGCATACCTCAGGGCCTGGGGAGAAATAGGGGCCTCTGTGTATATCCCATGTGAATAGAGGAGCCCTGGTTGTTTAGGTCCAGAAGGGTCCTTCCATGTAATTATAACTTCATTTTGGAGACGAGACCAAGGTCAGAGCTGAGCAGGACCCGTGTTAGGAAGGAACTCCCCTTGGAGTCGGTGAAGTGGTGTTAGGAACACACGGGTGGTGACCCAGGAATGGACTTCTGACTCAGGGAAGGGACATATCAATGATACCCACCTCAGCTACACGTGTGGTGATGGGAAGAACTCTTGGGAATCTCATCCCTGGTGTGTACGCAGAAGAGTTATCAGGACTGAAAATCAAATCCAGAGGAAACTCCCCGTTGGGCCGGGGCAGAGCAAAGGGAAATTACGGGGAAGAAAATTGTTTTCCGTTACCAATGCTTTCAGGGACAGAGCTTAAGTCCAGGATGACAAGGGAGCCAGAATAATGGGACAGACTTTAGTTAGGAAACCATGGACAGGCTTACAGATCAGACCTCTCCATTGCTGGGTTCGCTCTGGACCAGGACTCCTTACATACCCTTTTCCCTGGGGACTATCTATGGGCAAGAGAATGAAACAGAAACACCTAGAAAAACTAGAGGCCTGTACAGGAAGGGACTCTCAGAATCGGGAGCTCAATTTGGGAAGCCCAGGTCTGGGGCGCCCTGGGCACTAGACAGGGAGAGCTCTTCTCTCTCAGCAACTCAGCCCCAAACACCGCCCGGAACTGGGGAGACAGGTTTCCACACATCTGGTTGTGACCCAAGAAACCAGATCAGGAAAACTGAAGACTGGGCTCCCCTCACAGTCTGGGGTAATCGGGCATCTGGCATCCTGCATCTTACCTCCCCCCCAGAGGTGGCCTCTGAACCACCCTAAAAAGAACTGCGCTCTCTGGGCTCTGTGGGCGTTTTGGAGAAGATGGGGATGGGGGGCAGGGAAAAGAAAGTTCCCCTAAACTCTAAAGCATTACTGCCTACTAGGGTTTCCTGCAATGATGAAAATGTTCTAAATCTGTGCTGTCCAATATTGTAGCCACCAGCTACCCATGTCTATGAGCACTTGAAATGTAAATAATGAAACAAAGAAACGGGATTTTAAATTTTATTTAATTTTAATTCATTTACCTTTCAAAAGCCATGGGTCGCTAATGGCTAGTGTGTTGGAAAATGCAGCTCTGGGACCTTGGGGATCATGGGTTTAGCTCTGCAGCTATGGGGGAGAAGGGGCGAGTACAGTTCCAGCCCTCATCAGGCCCTGCGAGAGGCCAGTGTCAGCCATGGGGCTGGGGGTGGATGTCCTCAAGCAATCACAGAGCATTTCTCTCGCCCCTTTATTCCTAAGGCACCCTTGTCCTCTCTTTTTCCGAGGGCCTCATGACACACTGATATCCCCACTCGGTGTTCTCCAGTGAGTTGCCGGATGCCTGTTGGCTAAAGCGCCTGGGAGATAGAGCTTCACACTTGTCTCTGCCCACGCCGAAAGGCCTCTGGCGGGCATCGAAGACCACGTGCCCTACGCGGGCGCTTGCCCCCGGGCAGTGAGTCTTCAAGCTGGGTTTTGGAGGCACAGGCATCTGGTGGTAGTTCTGATAGGCTGGAGGAACTGTATCCACAGGGTGGTACACCCAGTCTTGGCCACCTACTCGGTGGGAGGATGGTTGTAACTCAATCAATACGGGCACCTCTGAGAAGGTTTGCAGGTCACTGTAGACCACCTGGGCCTTGGAAGGGCAGGCGTACTGGCTGGCGGGGTCAGGAGCCCATGGGGGGTGCTGCTCCGCGTTCTTCTGAGGAGTCTCCTCATACACGAATGACCTCAAGGGCTGTGAGGACTTTGGAGTCTGAGATGGACCCAAGACTTGGGCAGAGTTGGTACCTGGAGCACGGCCTGGGTTCTTGTGCGAGTCAGGATTTGGGAGGAGGCTTGATTCCTTGGTAAGGCCGTGAGTCACGGGGAAGCTAGCATCTTGGATAACGCGCAGGCCCTTCTGTGGGCCAGAATCTTGTTGAATCCCTGCGTACCTGTGGAAGTTGGGGTTTGGAGTGTGTTCTGGGTTCCTGTACATGCCAACATCTTGGGTGAGGCCACCTCTCTTTTTTGCTTCACTGGCTTGGGTAAGGCCTGGATTCGCACAGGGGTCACAATCTTTAGTCAGGCCTACGTTTCTGTAGTCTCCCGAGTCTTTGGTGAGGCCTGAGCCCTTATGGAGGCCACAGGTTTGGGCAAGGCCTGGGTTTTTGTAGAGACCAGATTCCTGGCCTGAGCTCTTGTTTACTTCAGAGTCTTTGGCAAGGCATGACCCCTTCTGTGGGCCAGAATCTTGGGTAAGGCCTAGACTCCTAGCGACTCTCTGATCTTGGGCATGAGCTGTACTCTTGTAACCTCCAGAATCTTGAGGAAGGCCTGGGCTGTTATGGACGCCAGTTGTTTGGGAGAGATCTTGATTTTTGCACAATACAGTCTCTTGCACAAAGCCCGAGTTCCTCTGAATGTCAGGATTTCGGAGAAATGCTTTGTTCTTATGGAAGCCAGGGGGTTGGGTGAGATATGGGCTCCTAAAAACACCTACATTTTGAGGCGGACCGAGGCACTTTTCAGGGCCAGACTCTTGGGGAACTGGATTCTTGTGAAGGCCAGGGTCCTGGGAAGGGCCTGAACTCTTGCAGAGATGAGGATGTTGGGTAAGGTCTGGCATCTTTTTTAGGCCTGGATCTTGACCAAGGCCTGGGTTCTTGGGAACTTTAGAGTCCTTTGAAGGGCCTGGGGTTCTTTGGAGGCCAGAGTCTTGGATGAGGCCTAGACTCTCATGAAGTTCAGAAGATTGGGGTTGGATTGGGGGTTGGGAAATGGTGGAGAACTGGGAAGGGATGGGAAACTGGGAAGAGAGTATGGAGACTGGGGGTAGGGTGGGGGCTTGTGTTAAGGTGGAGGGCTTCACCTGGTGGTTGGTAGGTTGTTGAAGAATAAAGGATCTGGGAGAAACAAGAGGAAGAGAAAGAGTGTATGGTGGAGGCACAGCACACCTTGAATTCTGGACACTGCCCGTGGGAGAGTGAAAGCAAGGTTGAGAAGGTGAGTCGTCCTTGGAGTAGACCAGGAATTTGGGATAGGCTGGAGGCTGGGAGTCTGTGTTTCTCCTCTCAGAATTGCAAGGATGGAAGCTGCAGTAAGGGAAGGTCTTGGGCTGTAAGACCTTGTCTTCGGCATCATTTGAGTTATTCCATCCCATATTCTCCGACTCCAGGTAACCCACTATAGGTCCTGTGGGGGTGTTGGCAGTATCCCCACTAAGTTGCTTGAATATTTGCTCGGCTTTACTAGAGTTTACCAGTCTCTGCCTGTCTTGGGGCCTGGTGAAGGTACCCAAGTCCCTTCTGGAGTACCCAGTGTTCTGGGTGGGACACCCGTAGAATAAGGTCTTCTTTGCCATGGGGGCAGCATAGAACACATGGCCAGCGGAGAGGTCTTGATTGAAGGCAGCCAGGGCAGAGGGAGTAGGAGTGAGGCTGTAGGAAGGGGTGGGGGGAGGGGTATGAGTAGGGACTGGAGTGGTAGTCGGGGCCATGACCAGTGCTGGGGCAAGGATTGAAGCAAATTTTGGAACAGGGGCTGGGGCAGGAGTAGCAGCAAGGGAAGAAGTTAGAGGAGGTTCTGGGGCAGAGGGTGGGGGAGGGACCAACTTGTGGGCATGGGTATAGGTTGGATGAGCAGGGTTGCTGGTTGGGGTGGGGACTGCCAGGTGCTCAAGTATGTAGTCCAGGGACTGGCCAAAGGCATCCAAGGAAAGCTTGGCTGGGTCCTGGGCCAGGGTGTGGGCTGAGGTATGCTCAGGGCCATGGACCTGGGTGCCAGTGTGCTCAGGGGTGCAGACTATGGAGTGGACCTGGGCCTGGGTGGGGGTGTTCTCAGAGAGGTGCACTGGGGGGCGGGTCTGGGCCTGGGTGAGGATGTGCTCAGAGGGTTGGGCTGGGGGGCAGGTCTGGGCCTTGGTGGTGTTGTGCTCAGGGGGTTGGGCTGGGGGGCAGGTCTGGGCCTTGGTGGTGTAGTGCTCAGGGGGTTGGGCTGGGGGGCAGGTCTGGGCCTGGGTGGGGTTGTGCTCACAGGGTTGGGCTGGGGGGCGGGTCTGGGCCTGGGTGGGGTTGTGCTCACAGGGTTGGGCTGGGGGGCGGGTCTGGGCCTTGGTGGGGTTGTGCTCAGGGGGTTGGGCTGGGGGGCAGGTCTGGGCCTTGGTGGGGTTATGCTCAGGGGGTTGGACTGGGGGGCAGGCCTGGGCCTTGGTGGGATTGTGCTCAGGGGGTTGGGCTGGGGGGCAGGTCTGGGCCTGGGTGGGATTGTGCTCAGGGGGTTGGGCTGGGGGGCAGGTCTGGGCCTGGGTGGGGGTGTGCTCACAGGAGTGGACTGGGAGGCGGATCTGGGCCTGGGTGGGGGTGTGCTCAGGGTGTCGGGGTGGAGGGTGGGTCCATGTCTTGGCTGGAGCATAATCTGGGGTCTTAGTCTTATTCCCTTGGGGCAAGCAGAGTGGAACCATATTCAACTTGCTCGTCCTGGGGAACGGGGAAGATGTCCCTTGCCTGGAGAGATAGGTGTCTTGGGCCTTTGCGGCTGTGATGTGAGGGGCCTCCCTCGCTCCCTTCATG